CATACGAAATTTGTATAATCTTTTAATTGAGTATAATATCGGCAGGTGAAAAATTTGCGTCTCTTATCGGTCGTCACAACGTCGAGAAAGAAAAAGAGAATTTCGAAAGGGCAGTCAATGAAATAGAAAAAAACGAATTGGAAAGACAAAAAGAACGAAAGAATCATGAGGCCGCGATGAGAGCTATTATAATCGAAGACAAACGTCAAGCTGAAGCTGCGAAAATAAAAGAAATGAAAGAAGAAAAAGAGATTCGAACGTGGGAAACTTTGCAGAGATTTAAAAGAGACGAATACAATAAACAAGTAGAATTAGAAGATTTAATAGAGAAAAGAAAGAAAAAAATTAATTATGCTCGAGATCTACAAAAACATATCGTAAGTAAAATTACGATAAAACGATTTAAGATAGATGTAATGATAGACGTATTTTTGATTAGGAATTGCAAAGAGAGGAACGTAAACACGAGAAACAACTAGACGATGATTTCAATGAAATGAAAGCGGCTGTAGAACAAGTCAACAAAAGAGTATTGTCTTACAATCAACAAGTTTTAAATGAATCTAAAGGAGTGAGACCTCTTTATCCCATTTTGAAAGCGATCAAGGTATTAATACATTATGTCATTAATTAATTAAATTGACATTGAAACAATACTGAAATAAAACTAATCTGTTATTTTTTAAAAGGAATGCAATGAAGAAATGGGTTTGATAAAACCAAGAAAAAAGATTGAACCCATTTCACCGAAACAAGTGAAACAACGTAGACACGGAATTCGTCGTGGTTGTACAAAAGTTGTTCCAGAAAATCAAATTCATTATATATATGACTTATAAATATTCACGATTAAATTAAATTGAAATCGTTTCGTTCGCGTGATAATATACATAAATGCAACGTGTTTTATAATTAAAAATTCAAGTAAAAATACGAATATATAATGCTTGTAATTGATCAACTAATAGCATAGTAATTATTGCCGTAGGACAAGCCTTTGTATAGTAAGCTAAAAATCCTCGCCACAATGATAAAAAGCCATTTCGATTACTGGTTTGCTTCATTATTTTGATCATGCCTGGGGGCTTCATTGGTCCCACCCAATTTTGTATTCTATTAAAAAGAAACATAAGAATATGATACTATAAGATAATCTCATGTATATATATATATATATATATATATATATATATATATATATATATATATATTTTCTTGCTAATATTTATTCTTATTACAAACTTTGTTTTCGCTAAGTCTAACGGTAAAGATGTAAGAGTCGCAACAAAACCGGAAAAAATAGCTGCTAGAAATTGCGTCCATGAATTATCTACGAAATAACCTGTAAAAGAATTCATAATAAAACAAGATTCGAGAAATACTGAATGAGAGATAAGAGAGAAAGAGAGAGAGAGAGAGAGAGAGAGAGAGAGAGAGAGAAAGAGAGAGATGCATGTTTTATCTACCAGTATCTATTAACGCGTATTTCAATCGACTGTATGTGCCCAATTGTACACCACTGACAATAGCTGCTCTTCCAATAGAAGGTGCAGCACCTCTCCATAATGTTGTAATTCCTTCCTTTTGACATATATCAACAAGAGCACTTATGACATTTTTATAATTTCTTCGTTTTTCTATATAAACGTAGAAACAATTTTGTTTCTTAAACCTTGTGAATTATGTAAAATTTTAATCGATGCTTACCTGGTGGTAATTTAATATCGCCTACCATTCGTACAAGTACAACGTCAGCAGGTGTCCCAACAAAAGCACCAACGACGCCAGAGAACATTCCAATGCTAATCATACCAGCATAATCAGGACGTCCAAAATGATTTCTAAAAATAATTTTGTTCCACTTAGTATACATATATATATATATATATATATATATATATATATGTAAAACATTAATAATATATGTTCAATAAATAAATAGAAACAATCACATCCAAAATTCCAACATTGACGTATAAATTCCCATTTTGGTCATAGTATAAGTTATCTGACGAAAAAGGGCTGCACTTAATCCATCGTAAAACCTACGAGGATCTTTCATTTCAAGAATTTCACGTATAGTATTTATGAAACTGCCGTTCGTCATTTGCATACGAAGTTTCACAACATCAGTCGGATGTGTCAATAATTGTGCTGTTATCCTAAATAAACAAAATACTTTTTTTCTAATGTCCTACAAAATTATATTTAAATTGTATACAATTTAAATTTCTTCTTCTTCTTTTTTTCCTTTTTTTTTTTTTTTCTTTTTTTATTCAACCTCCTATTTATCATTCTACAATTATTAAAATACTAATTACCCTGATATTCCACCAATCATATATTTAATGGGAGTCGGTACGGTTGCTTTGCTTTGTGATAAAAAATAAATGTTCTCCATTAAAATCGAGATATAAAAATTGATATATCGTTATAGCAATTCAAAAAAAATGTTAATTAAAAGATTTTCACGATTTTTTATTAAATTTTTTTAACCTCCTGTCCGTCGTATTGCATTATCAAGAAAAAATATAAAATGTTGCTCTTTTGTTTAAATAAGACGATTCAAATGTGATAAACATTTATTTGTATTTAATATTTATTAACATGGATCATAAGATTGATCGTAATAATTTAAAGAGAATTTTTCAAAAAAATTAGCTACACTCAACATATTCGATTCTGATTTTTTTTTAGTTGACAAAGCGTGACATAAACTTCTCAAAATATTATGTGTCTTTGATAATGTCATTTTCATGTTGGGAGTAACAATCACCATGGTCCCAGTATTCTTTATCTCGCTATCGTGTAAAATAAAATGAGAACCTTCTTTCTTTCTAGCTTCGTAAATGATCTAAAATAAATAAAGTAGTATCAAGGAATCGTTTATGTTTGTAAAAAAAAAAAAAGAAGGACAAGGGAAAAATAATTATATTCATACTCCAACATCTTCCATAAGAATCTTCAATTTGGACCATGAATAAGCAGGCAAATTGACATGATATAATTCACAAATTACTATTGCAGTTCTCTCAGTAGTTTCGTCCCATTCCTTAGCATATATCGACGAAGTAATTACTTTTTTTCCAGAATGCTCTCGTACAATGACATTACCATTGAAAGTATTTGTTTCAGAACTATTCAATATAACGGGGATTAATAATTGATAAATATTATAATAAACATGACCTGAATCAAATTAGATCGTACTTGTAAGAGCCATCGATAACAAATTTCATCCAATCAACGTACATTTGTAAATGAGAATAATAAGGATAAATATCGAGTAATAATACAACCATTTTTTCTTTGTTATTATCGAAATAACAATAACAATCTATAGTTAAATATCCAAAATAGCCGAGCTGTTGGAGAGCATAAGCAAGTTTATTTATGCTTGGATTTAAGATCTCTATATTCACTGAAGTCTGTGGTATCATATAAGCAAACATTGAAAAGTTAACGTCTGCAGAAAATAAAAGTCTTATTAGTATTAATAATAATAAAAAAAAAAAAAAAAAAAAAAAAAATTTACAAATTATTAATCGTATGAAATACCTAATTGTAATTTATTCGAAGTACCGATCCATTTGAAAGGTTTTCTAGTGATCTTATTTGGAATAAAAAGTGATACGGATATGGTACTTGAATTTTTTTCATTAGGTACAGCTTGCAACAAACATCCAAACTTTTGTACGTGATTATAAAAATCTTTCCATGAATTATACTGGACTTTGTTAAAACTCGTTACAATGGAGACAATTTTTGGTAAATGAATTAACAAAGCATTTAAATATTCCTCTCGTACATCGGAATTATTTATCCATTCGTCGCCATACTGTTTTCTTATTTTTCTGATCGTAGGCATGAATGGTATACTAATGTGATTGATCAAAAATACGCCATAGTGTTTGGTCTGTACCCCGAAATTCAATCTAATTAACCATAAACAAATTTCGGTATTTAATATGATTAATTTAGCTAGATTGGCGCATAGCTTCGAATACTCTCGTATATCTTTGGAATGAGCTGGCTGTGGTAAATCAAGATTTTCAATTATTTCACTAATCTTCGATAGATTTAATAATTCTTGCTGTAGGATCATATCTGGCCCTAACAAAGGTATAGAAAGATAATCCGATACTCTAACGTCACATTCATCAACGATCCAAGGTAAAATATATCCTGGTTTTCCATTGATCTTTTTTCTAATAACCGTCAAAGTTTTCTCTGAGCAATGTAAAATCCTAGATACATTCATGTGTGTACATTCGAGAGTCTTAGCTTGTGAAAGAGTAAGAAACGTTACACGATTGGCTGTACGTTCTTGTGAAACGATAGAATCGATAATATCAACGTACATAGATAATAAATCTTGCGTAGCTTCGACAGGCAAAATATAAACAATCTCAGACATTTGATTGCGTAAAAATGAAAGTCTGAAAATCATCGAGTGTTGATAAATACCAAGCATTTTTGGAATGAACGTTTGACGAATGTTAATGGAATAACCAAGCGATGGAAGATGAATGATCACGTGTGGATATTTAATCAAGTCATAGAATTCTTTGCTCAATTTTTCATTAAATACTCGACTTATGTTCAACGACAAGAGCATTTTTTTCAAATGATTAGTATATATCTCTCGTTTGGATTTTAAGAATAACCATTTGTACCACAATACGCTAGCTGCTATATAACGACGATAAGATTCGTTTATTTGTTTACGAAGCTACAGATTATAAAAAAAAAAAAAAAAAAAAAAAAAAGAAAAAATTTATTGTTAAAATATAAATTCATTCGTTAATTAAAATCGGAACGTAAACATTATTGATTACCCAATAACCACGCCAACAGGACTGTATCAAAATGACGGCAATTTCCTTTCTATCCAAAGTTTTTAATTGAGGCTTCCAACTCGTTATCCAAGGCCCTTCCTCAGAAATATCTTGCAATAAAAGAAGTAGATCTTCCTTCGACAATTTAAAATGTATTCCACTTTCGGGTATAGATAGTAAAAAATTAAAGACCTTTAATGGATCCAAACGAAACGAATATATCCGTCGTTTTTTCAATATTTTTTCTATTTGTGGGGATACAACCAAATACCATTTCGATCTAAGTTGTTTGCCATTAACATCGAGAACCTTAGACCATCCTTCATTTTTTGTTAATTCTCCGTCGATATATTTTAAAGCATGAATATGTGATAAATCTATTTTATTCATGGATGTGGAACGTTTGTATTTTTTCATGATTTGATAGTAATTTTTATTCGTGGATAAAACTCCATTTTCTACTTCTGTTCTCTGACAAATCCTTAATAATAAATATTTTTATAACACACACGTACACACACAACCACGCATGCGTGTCACCCTCACACATATATATATATATATATATATATATATATATATATATATATATGTATATATGTATAATGATAAAAGAAAAAGAAATTACGTGTCCATTTCGTCGTCGACTAAAGAAAACATTTTGGTTCGTAAGTCCATTAAATCCTGCTTAAATTTCAAATCAGTTTCGTCGAATTTCGTGGGTAAAAGATCTAATTTTTCCGGCCTAATCTTTTCATCATTCATAATCGATTTAGATACATTTTTCCATTTGCAATGACAACGTACCAATGACAAAATATATTCATCGTTTTTCAATAAAGCACTTTTGCACGCTTCGTAAGCCGTTTTTACTTTTATCGGGAGTTTATCTAACAAAGCCTCAGATCGATTTTTATTTTCTAATAACAAATCTAATTTCATTTCTACCCAAAATTTATTGCAATCTTCTTCGATCGATATTAATCCCTTTTGTACTTTATCACAAAGTTCTCGCAATTTATTCAATTCTATTGTCTCTTCATGATCATTTTCTTTTCTATTTGACACAATGAAAAATGGGATTAAATTTTTAAGAGAATAAAAATTTTTCTTACCTGATTCAAAAAAGCAACCTAATAATTTGGACGATTTCATTTCTTCGACGTAAAAAATAATCCCTCAAGTTAAAACTTTGCCTTTGAATATTAAGAATATTGTCTTTTATTAATTTTTCGTATTGCAAATATAAATCCTCGCAATTAATTTTTTCTAGAACGGAATTAGGACAATACATTCTCTCAAATTATAAGCCGAACATAACCGTTAATCTTTTTAACAATAGATGAAGAACTTTCGTAATTATAATGGCGCCTTTTTTAAATTGCACACTTCTTTAAAATATGTATTTTTATATATTCAATTTTTATTACTACCATTGTCATGTATCTTACAAAAATTACTATATATAATTATTTCATATTTTTTATATAATTATTTACATGAATAATATATATATATATATATATATATATATATATATATATATATATATATATAGATTTAATATTGATATCGTTCATTTATTAATTCGATGTACATCAAGCTTATAGAAAAGCATGAATGTATTCATTAAAATTTTGCTTATATATATATTGACATAAATATACATATATATAAATCGAACGCTACATTGAATCGATCGATTAATTTTATTCGAGAGTAACTATAATATCTTTGAAAAACGACTTTGAAATACGAATAAAAATACGTATATAATGTTAGAGAAAATATTTTCTTGTATATAATATCTAAGTCGATTTTAACGGTAACAGCGCAGTGCTCTGTAAGATAACGATACTTAAGCATTCACAGTGCAAAATATCTCTCTCAGGTGTTATGTACGACTCAATTGCTTTCTTTTTCTAATTCAGTAAGTGCCGATTATTTCTCGGATTATATTTATATCCAAATGCTATATTTAATCTCGATCGTTTATTTAATAATAATAAATGTTCGCATATATTACATTTTACGTAAAACGTTTTTACAGTTTTTCTTGTAATCCGTATGAAGTATAAAATGAGGTTATCTTCTTCGTATTCAGTGTCACATATTTTTTTTCATTTTTACGATCAATTTTCTTTATAGATAGTTTAATAATCGTATCATTATCAATTTTTATATTGATTTAATGGAATATTACTTTTTTATTAAGTTTTATATAGTTCATTCATTGTTTCTTATAGGTTATCAAACTTCTGTCAAACCAATCATTCTAATTGTCAATTTTATTTACTGATTTAGAAACGACATTTGTTTTACTGTTCATAATGCGACAGTAAAGAGAATATAATAAAGCGCATTCATTTGACATAAAGAAAATATTAATATTAAAACGTATGTACAGAATTTGAGAAGAAGCAGCAATGGGTACAACACCAAGCCGTTATGAGGACTTTTCAAAAAATGAACATTTGGAAAAGTTCTGTGGAAAACAATCAATTTCTCCTCATGATCCGTTTTGGAGCTCATTCTTATCTTACAATATGCGACCACCTATAACAAGGAATGATCAAATAGAACTTGATTCTCAATTAGATTTAGCTTGCCAACAGTTATTGAGTAATAATCCAACAACAGGCAATTTCGGTAGCTTGATTCAAGTTACATTTATTCGTATAAGCGAGTTACTTGCACCTGTGCAGAACCAAAAGTGAGTCAATTTATTATTATTATTATTATTATTTTTGATTTGAAGATGACAAGTAAAGTAATTAAAATAAAAATATTCTATTTGTTTACAGCATAGTATCCGCATGGCATACATATAATGCATTATTTGCTGTAAGATGTTTTTTAAAATATCTTGTGGAAACTGTTGGAGAAGAAGAAATGATAAAACATATAGAAGCATCTGAGATATCTACTGGAGGGCAATCAACATCTTCGTATAGATTAGAAGATCTTTTTGAATCATTATTAGAACTTATAACTGATGTACCTTTATGGTAAGTATATAAAAAAAATGTTTAAATTATTTTTTTCATTAGATTGCTCTTAATAATATAATATATTTTATCTTTAGTGAATTCACTTATATCGTTCATTTGGAAGCAATAAATTGTCTACTTGTACTTCTTTCCGTACAATTATTTTCTCAAACTGCTGCTGAATACAGTCCTATCTATAGAATAGCAATGCATGCACAAAGTAGCGAACATGCACCGGCTGTAGTATGTACATTGTTACATAACTTTGTACAACAACAACATGCACCAGCAGGATTATTTTCACAACAACCAGGTGGTAGTATAGTTTTCAGTATTGCTGGTAAGTTTTAATGTGTGTATAGTCTATAATTATATAATATATAATATTTGTAAAATGTTTTATAATTTTTTTTAAATGTAACAAAATTTTTCAGCTGGATTATGGAATGTTATTACAATGGGCATGGGTCATAGCTCAAAGAATGTACAAGTTCTAAACAATGGTGCAACAGAAGAAGAAGAAAAAAAACGAGATACAGAAACCCCTCTTGCTAGTCAATCTTTATTATTGCTATTAGTTTTAACAAATCATTGTACTGCAACGCAAAACCCTTATAGAAATGCACTTTTCACTTTTACAGATATGCAAGGTAAATAATATAATGTAAAAAAAACAAAAAAAAAAAATTATAGAAATAAGGTATTTAATTAAAACAATTTAAACATATATATTCATTCCTTTCAGAAGATTACTCTCCATCTCAAATGGAAGGACACAATGCGTTCAGATTTAATTTAAACAAATTGTATAGTACAATCTGTAAAATACAAAATACTGATGAAGTCACATTACTACTGTACATGTTATTGCATAGAAATCAGAATGTGAAACACGACATAATCAGAAGATCAGATATACATTTATTGGTAAAAATCCGGGAAATTGGGCAATATTAAAAAAAAGTTTTTTTTTTTATTAATATATTTATATATATATATTAATAAAAATATTAATTTTTTAGGTAACACCAATACTACAAATATTATATCATGCACCTAATAATACATCTCATCACATTTATATGTCGCTTATAATTCTTTTAATCTTGAGTGAAGATGAAACATTTAATAAAAGAATACATGAAATTGTAAGTTCTAAGATCAAATTTTCATCCAAATACGTTCGTATAATCCATTTCTAAAATGTAGTGTACATTTTAAATTATAATTGGTATTATACTTTATAGATGCTAAAAGGTATAACATGGTATACTGAAAGATCTATAAGCGAAATATCATTGGGTGGACTGCTTATTCTTGTTGTTATAAGAACAATACAATATAACATGTTTAAAATGAGGGTATTTATATATGCATATATATATACGCACAATTTAATTTTATTTATTTATTTTATTTATTTTTTAATAACATTTTCAACTAATAAATATCTTAATGTATTATTAGGATAAATACTTGCATACAAACTGTTTAGCTGCTTTAGCTAATATGTCTGCACAATTTATGTCATTGCATCCCTATGTTAGTCAAAGATTATTAAGCTTATTTGAAACAGTAGCAAGAAAACATGCAAGATTAGAAGCAAAAATAAAAGCATTGTCTTCTGTTTCATCGGAAAGCACAACAATCAATATTAATGGGACCGTAAGCAATACAGATTTAGTAAGTAACTGATATTTGTATATACTTTTTTTATGAATATGTATATACAAAGTAAAGTTATTTATATTTTTTAACAGGTACAAGATTTAACGATATTAGAAGAAGTTCTTAGGATGGTACTCGAAATTATAAATAGTTGTCTTACGCATAAACTTGCAGAAAATCCAAATTTGATCTACACTCTTCTCTATACTTTTTGTGAGAAAGATATTTTTGAACCGTTCAGATTGCATTCAGCATTTCAAGATATTGTGCAAAATATAGATCCTGTAAGTTAATATGTATCTAATCAATTTATTTATACTGATGATTTATTATTGTAATAAAAATTTATATTTATAAATAATTTGTAATATTTTTTAAAGGTTATAGATTTCTTCTCATATAAGTTAGAACAAAGGGATCAATCTCAGCTCGGTGTCAGTCAGGTATTAGCTATAATACAGCAAGGTGTTACTGAATGGCCTCGTGATCGTCTAAGAGTGCGTACATGAAAGATTATTTACTAATTTATTTCTCCTATTAATATAAATTTAGGTATACGTTTTTATTATCATTATTATTATTATTATTGTTATTATTATTATTATTGTTATTGTTATAATTTTATAGAAATTTCCGGAACTCAAGTTTAAATATGTAGAAGAAGAACAACCAGAAGAATTCTTTATTCCTTATGTATGGAGTATTGTCTGTCAAGGAGCTTTATTACATTGGAGTGCAGAAAATATTAAATTACAAGCTAGTATTTAAGCTTGTCTATGGCAGATTAATCAAATGTGAAATATGGAAAATAGAGTGGAAAAAAGAAAGGATGAAAAGAATACTATGCTGATATAATAAATTTAAACATATATAAAATCTATATTAACAAATGTTTAATAATATTTATATGTATGTTTGTATTTATGACAGATAAGTGAAATCGAATAGTTTGGATTTAACTTTACACTTGGCCACTTTCAATTTCAATTTTAACCTTTTTTCTTAATTTAAAAATGAAATTTTTTTGAGTTTTCATTACTTTGGGTGGCCCCTTTACAGCTATCCCAAACTTTCACTTTCTGTCTTATCAAGAAATTCGGATAATAGATCGAATATACAGACATATGTAAAGATAGTATTAATCATTTATTAATATAAATCTTCGTCGAAGTAAAACGAAGATTACGGTTTGATGAATTGAAATGATAACACCGAATCGTTTGAATTTGTGAGAAGTAATAGATTTTATAAAAGAAAATATGAAATTCTCTTTGAATGCAGAAATCATATCTATCCTAGTCTTTAAATTTACGATTGTATTGTTATACGGTTCAAAGAATGATTTCTTTTTTTCATCGAGATTAGAAAAATGTTTGAAATTTTTTATGAAAAAAAAAAAAAGAAAAAAAAGAGAAAAAGAAAAAAATTGACGTAGATATCTATGTGCAGATTTATTTATATGCTTCAAATTGCCTAGGTATACGACTAATATATATATATATATATAGATTACTAGAATTTATAAATAGATTATAATTATTAAAATATTCATAAAGTAAAACGTAAGAAGGGAGGTAAATAATCTTCGGTTATTGTATATATGTATTAAGACTTCAATTTTTCAAAATATCTTCCTACTTTTAATTAAATTAGATCATTCCTTACAATTTTGATATATATACGTAGAAATGGAAATATTAGAAAAAATTTCTTTTTTATTATACTAATATATTGATTTGTTAAAATCTTATGCTAACACATCGAACGAAATGTGATCTATGTAATATAGCACTTAGCGTTTTTATTACATACCTTTATTACATATGCGCATTGACATTCATGGCAGTTGGTAGTAGAGCTTTGTGTATTGCAGCTGTTTAACAATGTAGTACAATTTTATGTTTAAAATTGAAGAATGATACAGTTTCATTATTTTGGTAGGAGTATTAACTTATTAGAAAAAATTTAATTTTGACAGGAGATATTTTGTTATATTTATCGATGAGTATTTAATATATTTAAAAATGCTAAAATCAACGCAAGATTTTTCTGCACCTTATTAAAAATATAAATACAACTCTTGAGAAATTAATTGTGAAAGATAAAAAATCATGATTCGTCAGAAGATTATTCATATTTCAGAATTAATATCACGAGATGTATGTATAGCACACTTTCCATGAAAATTTATATATATATATATATATATATATATATATATATCGATCTTTATAATTGTTTTTATAAAACAATTCTAAAATTTATCGTGTGTGTATGTGCATGTACATCAAATAAGTTTTTCAGTAATTTTTATCTTTGTAAATACTTACTTCAAGTGCGCGCAAGTGAGAGCTCCTATATATAAACACACATATTTAATGAATTATTTAATTAAACAGCAATGTCGCTGCTAATATAACACAGCATTTGTGTAGGTACATGGTTTATGCTGTCCATGTTCAAATATAAATGTAAGTTAACATACATATATATATATATATATATATATATATATATATATAAAATAAAAAGTTCTGATATTTATATACAGAAGTATGGAATGTTTCAATATATCCCAGATATATTTTCGCTCGGAATCAAAAATTCTTGTACATATAATATAAAAGAAGAAGTTTAAAGATATATGTATATGAGAACAAAAAGGAAATGAAAATGAATGAAAATAAACTAATCGCTCTTATTTGAATTTCTTGCTTGTAAAAAAAAAAAAAAAGAAAAAAAAAAAAAGACATTGAAATGATCTAGCTATCAATATCTTTGCCGACGCATCAGATAGAATATATAAGTCGATCTATATTTTTCGAATGTACATCTTTATTAAACAAATACAGTTGACGTCTTAATATTATTTATATAATATGTCGATATAGATCGTATTTCATTTTCCTAGCCTGTGCAGCGTATATATGCGACCGCGCGCGTGTACGTGTGTCATATACTATTGCTAAACATCTCTTTTGTTTGAGAGAACGATTTTTTTTTCTGTTGGAGAATAACAAGGTAATTTGACGTTTCTGTGCGTCGCGTGCAGACGCGCCGAGTAACTCAGTGTGTCGTACATTAAATTAAAATTCATATTTCATAAACATTGCTTTCTTAGCCATATGTCCACGTCACAACTTGAAACGTGCTTAGCGCGTAGATAATAGTATCATTACCCATAATAATTAAATTCCTTATAGCTGTATTCTATATCGTTACTTAATCTTATTAGTTAACACACAATCAATCTGCGATGGGAGGGAATTTATTCGGTCCGTAATAATAATCCAATTACGGCCTATATCTATTATCAATAGCTGATTAATTATTAATTTATGACAACGTCGCTCTCTTGGATAATCTTGATTCTCTTCATCTCTTTTCTTTTTTTTTTTTTTTGTTCCTTTTTATTTGTTTCATTTTCCTTTCTTCTTTTTTTTTTTTTAAATTATTATTATTATTATTATTAATATTATTATTATTATTTTAATCTTTTCTCTTCTTGTCTTTTTTTTCCCCCCTTGAAATTTCAATCGTTATAATCGTGTGAAAGGACGCGGCGTGTCATTTGCTATATCATATATTTTTTTTAAATCCTTTTTTTTTAATTTTTTTTTCTTTTCTTTTTTTTTTCCTCAATTATTCACGTACATTCTTACGTGGTGTGTTTCTCGTGTGTAATGAATGTATGTATGTAAGTATGTATGTATGTACGTATGTATGTATGCGTTATTTATCCTCACAGAGACAATGAAGCATACGTAAAACAAGAGATAACTCTTGTCGAGTGCTTATTCCGCAAATGATATTCTTAATATAGATAATAAGTAATTATCGAGCTCGTATTTTATTTCATTCGAAAAGAAATCACCCGTCCTGTATGTCTCTGTTATACGTATTACATTGTTTTGGTCACAAATTACACATCCTCTCATAGTCACGTGTAAAATTCAAAACATTCGGGGACAACCATTGGAGGTACCGTTACGTGTAAGCATTATAGAGAATATGTCCAAATATTATATACGTAAACATACATACATGAGAGAGTGCATGTGCATATGTGTACGTACATGCTAGCTGCCTACAAAATACAATGGTACGTTTTAGAAATCCATACCTTTTCTCTTTTCTCTTTATTTATTTATTTCTTTTTTGTTTTGTTTTTTGTTTTCTTTCACTTTGTTTATATCATTCATCTGCAAACGGCGTAGATATAATCTTTTTATGTGTGTATCTATATATATATATATATATATTTATATATATATATTTATTTATTTATATATATATATATTTATATTATAGTATCATCTAGTCGGTTTTTGTTCTGCATAGATCCCATTATTCCCTCATAATTAATAATTAAGTACATCTTCAAAGTAGGTGCATACGCCTTTTTTGTGTGTAGATTGTATTGCGTTATGGCTATGCTTGTTTTTTTTTTTTTTTTTATTTTGTTTTTATGATTCTTATAGCTGCTGTTGCTTACGCTGCCAATTTAAGGAGAACTTACATTCGAATACTTTTCATTTCTTTTCTTTTTTTTTTTTTGTTTTTTGTTATTTTTTTTTATTCTATTTTTATTTTTCCCTTTCCTAAAGCCCTCACCCATAACCACTCCCCCCCTTAATAGTTCAATAGATCGAATGAGAAAAAATGCTGATAATGCACGTCCGCTTAAGAATTCCGTCTATTCTCTCTTTTATCATTGAGGACGACAGGCGTCGTCGTTTAGCACGAATGAGTCTGTTATTCTAACGCTTTTCGCTTTTAGCTTGAGACAATAGCAACTTTGTATGTGCAACGTTTTACCAATATTTATATATACCTGTGTTTGTGTATCCTGTGTATACGTGTATATGTGCGTGTGTGTAATAAGTTTCTCTTGTATCAAAGCGTAAAGACGATTAAATTCGATTTAATATCGTAAAAATATTCACAATGGACTACTCTTATAACACTAGAATTACCATGACGACCTGTTTTTGTTCGTATTCGTCAATTTGATGTTTAAGCTTTTTGAAGAAAAAACAAACGAAAAAAAAAGAAAAAATATATTCCTCATTATTTTTAATTTATTTATACCTTGACAATAATAAGTAAAATAAAATAGATTTCATAGTTCATATACATGTATAATAATTATGATATATATATATATATATATAATATTATATAATAATATCATAATATTTAGTAATTATATAACGAGAAATCTGAAATCCATCATATTGACGAATTTGGTAGCTCCAGTGTTAAATTTATAAACAAATGATTTTTTACAATTTCTCAAATAAATTGTAAACAAAGAATTATTTCTATATGTATATAACTTAATTATTTAACGGAGCAAAGGATTTCTTCTGAAATTATATAAAATAGCTATATATTAACACGCTTAGAAAAGTACGATTATTTTTTTCTTTTTTTTTTTTTTTTTTTTTCTTTTTTCTTTTCTTCCTTTTCTTTATATCCCAATACGGTAGAGTGTTCCGTTTCCGTGCAATTAATTAAATATAAAGGAATTATTTTACGGTGAATTTCGTAGGCATTTTCACCGGTTGAGACATGATTTTTGAAGGGTACAAAAAGCGTGTCTGTCGTAGATATAGATATTTTTATATGGATATATAGAAACGATCTACCGTATCGAAATTTAGGGCAAAATGCGTACACTTTTATCACGTATGTATGTATACATATACCTATTCGAGAGAAGAAACAAGTAGCCTTATATGTATATTCTGTTTGTTTGCTATGAAAAGCATTAATAGAGATGGCCTTTTATATTCCTTTTTTTTTTCTTTTTTTTTATCATTATTTTTTTCTTCTTCTTCTTCTTTTTTTTATAACATTCTGGATTTAGAGAAATGTTCAAATCGATCTTCAAATAGATCAATTCTATGGAAACAAAAGGATTACAGAAAGTATGAAAGTATATGTTCGTATATCTGCGCGTATGTGTGTATACATGTGTGTTCGTTTGCTTGTGTATGATTAAAACGTTTACACCGATCATTAGAAAACGTAGGAAAAAAAAAGAAGAAAAAAAAGAAGAAAAAAAAAGAAAGGACGTGTAAAAAAATATGCAAGAGAAAGAAGGTGTGAGAGAGGGAGACAGAGAGAGAGAAAGAGATAGACAGATAGACAGACAGATAGATAGATAGAGAGGGAGAGAGAGAGAGAGAGAGAAAAAATAATTAAAAAAAATAAAGAAAGAAGAAAATCTGACATATATATATATATATGGCAAGTTAACATCACGATGTGGCAGATCCCTTATGATTGTATAAGGAGCTCTTACGAAAATTTGTTAAAACTTCTGACAAATCTCTTATAAAAATGATATGATATGCTCGTTGGAAAAATAAGTTGTTCATTATAGTTTCTATGAATATAGATATCCGTACACAAATTTCTCTCTTTTTTTCTCAGTTCTAGATAAGTTCCGATCGCGGGTCGTCGGTCATTTTATAATTCTAAATACATAATAATAAATACATACATAAGAATCCGTTCATTACTTCGCAGCGAGTATATTATTAATGCGCAGTCATCACGATTTATATTATTTTCTTCGAAAGTTAAAATATCCATCCCCTCTGCGGATCATTGCACATTTATTTAAATATAAGCATTTTCTGGCGAGCGATCCGTATGATTGCTAAAGCGCGTCACAACCATATAATATGTAGTATGTAGTGCACGTAACATATAATATTATGACATGATGCACTTTAGTATATACACCACGTAATTGCCAAGAGAAACACGCCTATTTATGTTAACATCTTAATCGCTATATGTCGTATTTAACAGTATCATCTAAAATACAACAATCACGGTAGAATAGCTCCATTCGATACGCACAGGTGCGTCTGATAAAATCAGTTTGAGTCACTATTAAAATATAGAGTAGAATTCAATGTACTACCGTTTAAAAAGGCACATAAAAACTAGTTGCTCTGCTAAAAGAGAGAAAGAGAGACAGAGAGAGAGAGATAGAGAGAGAAAGAGAGAGATAGAGAGAGAGAGAAAGAAAGAGAGATTGCACAATGATTCTTAAAAAAATAAAAAACCCCATTTCTTTCGAGCATTAATCGAGTGCGCTGCGCTGCGTTTAGAATAAAAACATCTTTTCTGATCCGTCGCATCGAAATCTCACCGCAGAATAATGAATGGAAACATGTATGTATTTTATAATTACATGTGTCCTTTCGTGTGCACATACTACACATGTACTTAACTCGTATAGACCGTATACGCAGAGAAAATCGGGGGTGGGGCGCGTATCTAGTCCAGTACGCATGCATATACATATGTATGTATACGGATATGATGTTAATACACAAGTGTACTTAACGGTGAAGCACTATCATAAGATGCGCGGCAATGTCCTTACTAATTGTAAGAGCTAAAAGTCGTATCTGTTGTATTATGTCGTTCGGTCGTTCAAACGATCGATCGATCGGTCGGTCGATCGGGAAGGAACATTGTGCAAATTATCCAAGATTTTTTCCTTTCTTTCCTTCTTCTTTTTCTTTTGTCCTCTTTTTTTCTTATTTTTTTTTTCTTTTTTTCTTTTCTTTTCTTTTCTTTTTTTTTGTTTTGTTTTTTGTTATTATTCCCTTTTGTTTCTTTTTTATACTTAAAAATAAAACGGTAAATCAGGCAAGTCGATAAGCTTGCCACGACGTAATCCGTGATCGACCGAGAGTCCTGACGGATCTACGAATATCTTATGAAAAATTGCCGTTTTTACGATACACATATCTCTTTTCCAAGCATTTCGAAGAAAGTTTTATATGTAGATATAGAGGATACGTTCGTGAGATCAAATATCAACGTGGATAGCTTATATTGAGAAAGATAGAAATAGAAATAGAGATAGAAATAGAGAAAAAAAGAAAAGGAGAAAGAAAGAAAGAGAGAGAGAAAGAATGAGAGAGTGAGAGAAAAAGAGACCAAAAGATCTAAGAGGAAGAAAATACATATCTCATCAGTACCGTTTTCCAATAGAAGATAAAACTGCCTGTAGAGCGGATTATAATAATAGTTGATAATAGTATATATATATATATATATATATATATATATATATATATATATATATATATATATAGTAGCGTTAGTAAAAAAGAAAAAAAAAAAGAAAAAAAAAGAGAAAGAAAAAAAATCAATGATCGTAAATAGAATTATAGAATTATTATAGAATAGAATAAAAGGATAAGAGTTAGGAGTATAAAAAAAGTTTCCCTTGTCCTATGACTACTTTATAGGTCGAGAATATATATAAATTAATTTGCTGCGAGTGTTTACCGAGTGTTCACCGAGAATTTCTCAGCAAGTTTTTTTTTCTTCTTTTTTCTTTTTTTTTTTTTTTCTTTTTTTTTTCTTTTTTTTCTTTTTTTTTTTTTTTTAAGTATCTCTTGCGTGCCCGTGTAAATTTTCTCTACCAACATCAGCGACGTCGTATTATAGGTAGAAAGAGTTTAACTATTCGATAAAGCGTCCCGCACTCTTACAAATTCCGTTGGTACGTAAGAAGAGTACTAACTGCCTGTCGTGTCATTGCCTTGCAATGGATCAATCATGCCAGCTACGGGGACGGATACAACATGACGCTTTTATCCAATCGCGAAGGTCGCGACTCTGTGATCGCCCTATATTGTTGACAAACGTTGTAGTTAGATATTGTTAAAATAGATAACGCAAAATTTCCTTATAACCGACAAAAAGAGAATAACAACATTGTTATTAATACTTTTTTGTCATCGTGGTCGTGGTCATTGTCGTCGTCAACATTCAGGCAATATCATACGCATCGCGCATAGCGTCGTAGATGGTTCACAGGAATGGAGGGGTTCAGATATAGGATATTTCGCGTTCTTTCGGACAGTAGGTACTCGTCTGACGATACCGTCTTGAAAAAGAAAGATGATGACGAATATAAAGAGGTGGAATAGTAGTAATTTAAACGTCACGATGATCCCACTCCAAGTCGTGAGGCGAATTATGACGACGGTGTCGGCCATTGTTTAGATCGCAATCGTTTTCGCAATCGGAACTGTCGATATCGTCGTCTCTGAAGGAACCGTCCTCAGAATCGGAACTTCCGGAATCGTCAACGTCCTCGTCTCTATGACTCTGATGAGACTCATGCTCGGTCAGCCTGTCCATCGGGTTGACTGTTATGGCGAGGGCCGAATCGTCCCAGGCCATTTCCGTTTCGGCTGCCAATTCGTCGCCGGCCGATCGTCGTCGCTTCGCGGCACCTCGAACTCTCGCCGCTCCGACGACGGCCATTAATAGCAAGAAACCGATGCAGGCGGCCGCGACGATCGTAACGGCGTGACTACCACCAGCACCCCCGATGGTTCTTCTACCTTCGCGAATCACACTGGTCGAATAACCTTCCGGTATTTCAGCGTGATGAGGGGAAACTTGTATGTGACCGGGCACAGGTTCAACGATTCTGGCGATCGGAGGTTCGCCCGAGCTACTGTGCGGCAATACCGTCGTTTTCTCTTTCGGATGGATCACGGCTAACGTTTGGACATATTCGTTACTAGCGAAACGTCCGCTCAATTCGGAACAAGTAAGCTTGAAAACGCGATCGAGATAATATGCAGGCTTACGATTCGTGTACATTATTAGTCGAATGAGCTGTTGATAATTGTAAGGCGTGTCGGCACCCGAAAGTACAACGCCGTCGCGATCGACGCGTGCACTGATAGAACGGAATCTACGAAGAGCGTCGCCAGGTAAACCTAAGCTCTCGTGATCGGGATTCAGACTAGGATAAACGCTGACGGCGCAAGCGTCCAATCTCGCCGCGGAACCAGCGGTAACGCGAGCATCTGGGAAAACGCGAACGCCCAGGCGGAAATCGGCATATTCCCTAGCTACGTAACCGGTACCGTTAACGCTTATTCCAGGTCGAGGTGGTGGCAGAACGGTCACGTACGATTGCACGGTAGGTACTGGCAGTTGAGAATTCTCGTTACCTTCGCATATCACCGCCGTGTCGAGACGGAAATTTCGCCGACCAGGAGTTGGGAAACGTCGTGTGTTAGAATATCCTATACGACGAAGAAGAGTCTCGATGTTCGTACGATTATCGCCATCAATGCGTACCTCCGTTAAATCGGAATTGGTGAGCAACTGTGTACCTGGCTGAAGCAAGTCCATGGACGGTACGTGTAAGCCCTCCTGGCAACGCCTCAAACAGGACAGTACGTCAGGTTTTTCGTTACGACCTACTAGAACTGAGAGCCCAGCGAGATACCCACGGAAGTGATGTTTTGTTCTATTATCCGAACCTTGCCAACAAGCTCCAACGACAAGCATCGTGTTTACGCCCTTTGCAGGATGCAAGGGCCAATCATCGATAACTTCGGGATTCTTCTCGTCCGTACGCCATTCCTCGCCATCGACAAAAAGACTTACGCGTGGGAAGTCGACTTGTATGGCATAATGATGCCACTTATCGTCGCATACTTGACCGAGCTTCCAACGCCACTCAGCCGGACGGAAGATGTTTGGATCGCCTTCGGAGAAGTCTCGTCGGAGTAACAAGATCAGCCTGCAATTTCTTATGAACAAAGCGTAATGATGCCTGTTCATCTCTGCAATGAGAACAAAAGCGTGTTATTATCCTACTAAGAAATACGTATCAACTTAAAGAAAAGAAAAGATAAGAAAAAGAAAAGAAAAAAGAAAAAAGAGAGAAAAAATTAAAAAAAAAAAAAAATAAATAAATAAATAAAAAAAAGAAAAACCTCGGAGACTCACTATGATCGTCTGCGGCGCAAAGAATATGTTCCTTAACGTGGGGATCTTGCCTCAATCTTGGACGATGTTTTACCCAAGCACTGATGGTGAACTTTTGTGCCAGAGAATGTTCGAGTACGTTATTGGGTACGATCGCAGCGGAATCGACTCCATCGAACTCGAAAATTTCATCGGCCTCCCGACCTTCATCTCGTGACAAAGAGGCGGTCCATGATGTGGTCGGTCCTGGTGTTGGTAAAAGATCAACGCTCTCGTGTGAGGCACCGCAAAGTTTTCGCTGGCTTCGTACAGTATAAGTATCACGATCGCAACCCTTTCCTATGTGATCGGTTACGAGATTCAAGGTAGCTCGAACGTTACGTAATATGCATGGTGCGTCACAAAGGTCCAGTTTTGCGGATGGTAAAAGCGGTTGAGATCCTGAACCAGCAGCATAGTCCACTCTCTCTGGAATACCTCTCCAGCCTGGTGTACACACTCGATTCACCTTGATAGTCACCATGGCCGGTGCTGATTGTTTCATTCCACAATCATAGGCAACCACGCTCAAAATGTAATTGTGGGAACGCTCGTAATCCAATGGCTCTGTGTTACGTATAGCACCTTCATTGTCAATAATGAACGGCTGGTCCGCTGTTAGAATCTCGTATTTGCATATGTCTCCGAATTTTGGAGTGCAATCTCTGTCGGAGGCTTCAACGCGTACTACCTCTTCGTAAAGCCGTCCTTCATCAACAGTGCTAACGTAAGCTGGTTGGAGAAACTGTGGTGCGTATTCGTTAACATCGACCACTGTGATATGAACCGTTGCACTGAAATAACATCGATGTGATTTTTTTTACTTTGATTAAACAAAACAAAAAAAAAAACAAAAAAGCAAAAAAAATCAAAGAGAGAAATATATAAAAAAATGGAACTTCAAGAAAAATATCTATACTAATATGAAATTTCTAAAAAAAAAAGAAAGAAAAAAAAAAAGAAAAAAAATCATTTCATTCTCATTTCAACAGCATTAGCGCAAAGATGCCTGACTTTGGCACTTTGCCGCGAGAGAGACTCGATCTATCGACCCAAATATTTAACTTTATTTCTTAAGCAAACGTTCAAGGGTTAAAACGATGTATATACATTCGTTCCATTGAAATATTTCCTTCGTTTCTATCTAAACATTCTCTCGAAGTATTATATATTATATATTTAAGTATATGTAAAACATACTTCTCAGATTGTCCACCGGAACAACCAACAGCTGCGATATCGAATTTGTAATTACGTCGTTTTTCACAATTCAAAACTCGAAGGGCCCTCAGCTCGGCCATTCCCTTCTCTTTTAAAACGATTTCGAAAGGTGCCTCGCCATGATGTTTATTCGCAATACGAAAAGAACATACTTTAGCTCCTAAAGCTCTTATCTGTGGAGTCACCTCAACGAGAGTTTCATTCTCCTTGACCAGGCCATGATAACCGCTCTCAAGACTTTCAAGATCCAATCGCGGAACTAGGAACATACGCATAAGAAAAAAAAACAAAAAACGAATAAATATTAGGACATTTTTTAAATTTCATTATATATGCATATATATATATATTTTTTACAAATATATAATTATCTTCATTGATTTAAAATGTATATCTTTAATGACATATATATTTAATATCATTTAATACCAGAGATTATTACAAAATAATTCAATCAAAAAATATATCAAGAGTAATTACAAAATGCTCTTGTTATCCAGATTATTCGTTATCCAGATGTTACTCAGACATTACGAACGGAATTAAATAGAAAACTAATCGGGAAAGAATTTTTTGTCCCAATTTTAAAGATATCGTTATCGCAATGCATCATCTCTGCAAATATAAATCGATAAGGAATAGTTTATTATCAGTTAGTATTTTAGATGATAATACAGCAAATCCAAATGAAATAGAATTATTTATTATCGAGAAATCGCGTCACGTCCCGGGAGATCTTTTGAAATTGTCTAATTTTACATCGACTATTTTTCCTTCTTTTCTTTTTCCAACCCTTATTCCCCCCCCCCCTTCCCTCCTCTCTTGAACAAAATTAAGCTCGGCCTGATTCACGCGCTTAGATATATATATATATATATATATTTTGTTTCCATGATTCGTCCCGGAAGTCAGTCCTTGGTCAAATCGTCTCGTCTTCGTTGAAATTGATTAAATAGGAATCGAAGTAATATATTCGTTCTTGCTTTTCTTCGCCCCTTTTCATGGTCTATCGACCGCCCTAGCGCGCGGTGCATTGCTTATATCGGAGCACCTATCGAGGAGACCGGTCAATGAATTCGCCATAACAGTTTCGGGCGAATGCAGGTGCTATAGAGAGTAAGAGAGAGAGAGAGAGAAAGAGAGAGAGAGAGAGAAAGAGAGAGAGAGAAAGAGAGAGAGAGAGAGGCAGACAGTCAGCATCATACATACATACACACATACATACAGACGGACGGATGGACAGACGGACAAACGGACGGACGGACGGACGGACAGACAGACAGACAGACAGACAGACAGACAGACAGACTGACAGACAGACAGACAGACAGACAGACAGACGAACGGACAGACAGACAGACAGACAGACAGATAGATAGATAGAAAGACGGACGGACAGACAGACAGACAAGGCAAAAAGAAAAAAACAGAGAGTGAGAAAAAGAGACAGAAAGAAAGATGGATGGATGGAAGGAGATGACGAGGGAAGGGACTAAATGAAAAGAATCGCACCTGCAAAGGTATCACCTATAATAGTCATACGTTTTTTCAGAATAAAATCTAGGAGGATGTATTTAATAGAAAAAGAAAAAAAATAATAATAATAAAAGAAACATTGGAACTAACTGTAAACGTATTGAAAGTAACTCTTTAAGCCATTATGAAAGAACGATTAAATGTAGGACACACGGTATAGAGAAAGAGAGAAAGAGAGAGAGAGAAAGAGAGAGAAATGAAATCACCTCCATGATCGTTGAAGGAAGTCGGTGTTGACTCGATGCTAGCGTGGGAGACACTTAGGGTCAGCCCAAAAAACACAACACTCGCCGCAAAAATCATCGTTTATTCGAGGATATTCCTCCGTAATATTATACTATCTCGATCCTCCGACCGATATATTTCGCTTTATCACTCGCGCAATGTCGTATTTTTTTATAAGGACATTACCAGCTATCGCGCGACTTGCTCGCGACACCAAGCACAATCGCGAAGTCAATATTTGAGAGGAATATCGATTTGTCAGAGAGTGTGACTCTAATTTGCGCCGCTACGCGACCGATGGCGACACAGGCGAATTCGTCTTCCCCGTCAGGAAATAAAAAACTATTAGATGTATAAATGGATGGTGTTATAATGTTAAGCACAAATGCGTGTCCGATTATCGCAAGAAATTTTCACAATCGTTTGCTATTTCTTCTTGGTTTTTTTTTCTTTTATTTTTCTTATGGTTTTCTTTTTTACTCTTTTTTAATCTTTTTTGTATGTCAGAGACGAAAATCATTCGTTTTTATAATCATACATTTTACTCCACAAATCGTTTTTCGAACGGCGTATCGGGATAAAAAGAAAAAAAAAAGAAACAGAAAAGAGATAAGAAAGAAACAGGTTGTAATATTTTTTTTAACTACAGATCACATCCTATAAAAAATCAAGACCATAGAAATAAACGGAATTTTTTCATGAGTATAAGATCAATGGTTTCATGCTATATCGGCTTATTAAAAATCGTGGCCTCTTTTATTGTAAATCTACCTTAAGGTATGTTTTGAAGCATAGTTAGACAAAAACACACATTACTTGAAAACGGTTTGTATAGCGACTGTTTTAAGATGGCGGACTCGAACGAGAAATTGTTAGTCGAATTACTTAAAAAGCCTGGAAATAATGTGTGCGCGGATTGTGGAGCCAAGAGTGAGTGTGTTTCATAATAAATAATCGTAAATATTTCATCCTCTGACACGCGACGAGATTCATTTAAAAGTAATACGTACATATGTATTTTGTTAAAAGAAAATGTGGTTACCTTTTGGAGCACAGTTATTCTCAATGATTATGGATTGTGTTTAATGACATAACAAAGAGAATTATTTTCTTTTTAAATGGAAAATTTACACAACATTCTTTTTGTATTAATATTAAAGCATATATCTTTGCATCAATATCTTTAGCACATTGCAATAATGATTACAAACATGTGCGTGTATGTGTATTTTTGTAGACAGTTTTAATAACAATGTTATATAAAAAAAATAAAAAATAATAAAGAAAGAAAGAAAAAAGGACTTTCCTATGTGTGTATATTTCAGACCCAGAATGGGCTTCTTACAATATAGGAATATTTGTCTGCACAAGGTGTGCCGGAGTGCATAGGTCTATGGGCGCACATATTTCCAAAGTGAAACATCTCAAACTAGACAGATGGGAGGACTCTCAAGTAAATAGAATACGTGAAGTAGGTAATATAACTGCAAGATTACATTACGAAGAGCGTGTACCACCTTGTTACCGTAGACCAAATTCAGATGCTCCTCAGTAAGTTTACTTATATATAAATATATTTATTTAATATTTATTTTTAAATTTTATTCTTTAATATTTTAAATTCTTGAATATTTTAAAGATGAATTAATAAAAAATTTTAACAAGTAATATGGCTAATACTATATAATTTATTTCTTATCGCGCCGGAAATGGTTAAATACCACAGAATAGGAAGTTTTGTATAATTTTTGATTAGATATTTTTTAATTTAGCACACATATTTCAATCCATCAATTCACTTAATGTAAAAGTAATATTAAAATAAAAATTTAAAAATAAAAATACAAAAAAATTATTTTAATTGATCGACAGAGTTTTAATAGAGCAATGGATAAGAGCTAAATATGAAAGGGAAGAATTTTGTCACCCAGAAAGACAGAATTATGTATCGGGATTTATGGAAGGATTTTTAATGAAGCGTGGAAAAGAAGACTCACGATATCATCCTCGTAAATTTGTTCTTTGTGAAGCTGAGGATACTTTGAAGTATCACGTTAAAGAAAATAAGGTATATTTAATTAAATAATTAAGATATTCTGACCTTACGTTTTTTAAATATTTATTTTTTTCAATAATATTTTCCTCTTCTTTATTCGATAAAGGAACCAAAAGCTATACTTAGGATATCAGAATTAAATGTAGCCTTTGCTCCGTCTAAAACTAATAATCAAAATAGTCTTCAAATATCTTTTATGAAAGATGGCACTACAAGACATATCTATGTGTATCATGAAGATCCAGAAGTAATTACAAATTGGTATTTAGCTATAAGATGTGCAAAATTACATCGTTTACAAGTTGCATATCCTGGTGCAACAGAGGCTGAATTATTATCACAACTTACAAGAGATTTTCCACGGGAAGGATTCCTGTGGAAAACAGGTCCTAGACACAGTGATGCTTATAAAAAGAGATGGTTTACATTAGATGGAAGGAAACTTATGTATCATGATGATCCTATGGTTTGTACGCATACTTACATGTGTGTGTGCATATGTGCATATATATCATTTATTATCAGAAATTATTCCTTTAATATTTTTTTCTATTGACATAAAGGATGCACATCCAAAAGGTGAAATTTTCTTGGGTCACAGTTCAGAAGGTTTTGCAGTTAAAACAGGAGTACCACCAGGTGCTAGAAATCAAGGTTTCTCTTTTACTCTTGAAACACCTGATAGAAGTTATCTCTTGTCTGCTCAAAATGATGATGACAGAACACAATGGATGAATGTAATACAGAAAGTAATAGATAAACCACTTACTCCACAAGATGCAACTGGTAAATATCGCTTTAATCTAAAACGATTTTGTCTCTCTATATTATTCTTAATTGTATAATATCATTTATATAATATTTTATTGCAGTAGCAGCACGTCTTGTAAGAAAACGCACAGCAAGTGGAACAATGAATATATTTTCTTCTGCAAGGTAGGGCTGGATCCCTCTTAGGCACCTTTCCTAAATATTATCATATATTAATTAGACAAACCAATTGAATGATTAAAATAATAAAACTACGTTTAGAAAATCTGTTTCTCGATATGCCTAGCAAATCATAACATTTTGTAGCTACATATTATCGTTGAATCACTTATATTTATATATCATTGCACGCTACGTTGCTTATACATCATATACATAAGACTGGTCAATGGAATTTAATGCAAATATAGTATAGGAACAATTTTTTCTTTAAAACGAATTTTTAACTGACAATATTTGTGATGTGCTGTCAAAAGGAACAGGCAGTATTATAAATATATAGTAAAAAAGCTTTTACTTGGCAATAGTATCTTTGTGATATTCCATTCATTATATTTACCAGAAAAAAACGTATAAATGTATCAATATATATATTATTTATATTTTGGTATAAATGCTTTAGACGAATAAATTACTCTAAATAACATTTGTTTCTTCTGAATATAATTAAAAAAAATATATATATATTTTTTCAAAATTGAATTCTACAATTAAATTTTCTTTTTTCTTTTTTTTTTTTTTGCAATTAAATTTATATACTTATTCAAAATAGATTTTAATTCTATATACGTACTATTAGTCTTTACTCTTTTATATATACACAAATGATTTGTCAAGATTTGTAAATAGAACTTAAAAAAAGAAAAGAAAAAAAAAAGTAAGATCATTATTTTTATTTTACATGACAAATGTCTGCACATACATACAGGGTTGTTAATTTAATATTGTAGTGTCTCAAATAACAAGTTTATTTACTCGTTTTATCAAATTTAAGTAGATCATTGTTAATTTCATCAAAAGTGTGATATTGAAAGTTTCTGTATGACAGTAGACATCTTTTAGCTTCATTCATTTTATTAATGGTGCTATCAAGATGACTATATCTACTGTTTTACAGTAACTATATCTTACATGCAGAGTGTTATAATGTTATACTATGAGTCATTGTGAATTTGATGATGTTTGTTTAATAAAGTATTATGAGATATCAGCACTTAAGTAAAAACAAATGACTTTTCTATATATTATTAATTATTAGATTATAATATCTTCATTTGTCAAATTATTGTTTTTTTTTTTTTTTATGTGTAATTATCTCTGATACTTGAATGCTGATATCACATAAAATTATAATTTAATAATCAGTCAAAATACATAATTATAAAGTTTCAGTGTAAATTTATTATTATAAAATAATAAAAAAAGATTATATTTAAAATAGTCATGTCTGACTTATTGTAAAGTTTGTTGTAATGATGATGATAATGACAATGATATAATGATTGTAACAATTATACTATTACTGCTACTACTACTACTACTATTACTACCACACTACTACTACTACTAAATATAATAATAATAATAACAATAATAATGTATAAAGGCTGCCAATATATACATTTACTTTGTAGTGTTAAACAATAAAGTATAGCAGCATGTCATACTATCTGTAGATATATGAAAAATAATTTGCTTATGCTCTATAACTGAAGAAAATAAATAATAATGAGACAACAAAGATACAAATATTGTAATATTTTTAATAATAGCAATAACTTCGCAGAGACAGAGAAAAAGAGAGAGAGAGAGAGAGAGAGAGAGAGAGAGAGAGAGAGAGAGAGAGAGAGAGAGAGAGAGAGAAAGGAAGTAACGTATTTTTACGTTAATTTTTATCATTAAATTTAACTAAAGGCACATTTTTTATATAGCAAAGAATATTCACCCAACATAATGCTGCAATACTAACATATGTGATACGTAGAGTAGGAGGAATTAATACAAAATTGAAAAACTGTACAGGTATCCAAAATAGGCATGATGTCTGAAAGTAAAAAAGTGAAACCACTTTGATAATGAAGAGTGGATTAGGTAAAAATTGTTAAAACACTTCTTGTATGTATTTTATATTTGAATAACCTACCTGAAAAGTTTTAAGAAACTTTGTTTTACATTCTTCAAATATATCAGATTTACTTTCCATCAAACTCATACCTATAATAAATAACAAAAGTTAATCAATTATATTAGAAAATATAACATTATAATGTGGAATAAACATACTAACTGATAAAAAATAGACAGACCAATGGTGGTGTCAATATAAATTGATCAAGAAATAATTTAGTTAAAACCAATTTTAAAGATTTGCCTTTGTAAAATGTATCTAACCATTTGTACCTGATAATATAAAAAAGGTTTTTATTTTGAAAACTTTTAATTATATATTATAACTTCTAAGTTAAATTCATCTCAATAACATTATAATTCATACAATATTCATATTTGTCTAAACTTTAATCCTAAAAATGGGTCTGTAATTATCTTATATATGGATTTACATTTTATTTAAATAATAATTTTTAAATTAATTAATAATAAAATAATGAATAAAATTAAAATTAATTATAAAAAATACCATCCATGCAACAATGGTCCTGCTAAAAAAAAACCATAAATAGCATATCTTTTAAGACGTGGCCAATTATATTGTTGTGTTGACATCGTAGATTCATGATCTAATAAACCTAAAAAATTATTGCACTTTCGTAACCATGAAAGTATTGGTCTATCGATATTTTGTAGTTCTACTCCATATGTGGACACCGGTTGAATAATCTAAAATATAAACAAATAAAAGATAAATTGATAATTCATTTTTTTTTTTTTTTTTTTAATTGATAAAACTGTAAGTTACCTGGAATCTTTTATTATAGATTTGTTGTGCAAATTCAGCGCATGTATAAAAAAAGCCATATGTTATAGAATTCAAGAGCAATGGTCTTTTTCGTGCAAAGTTACTTAATCTGAATAACATATTGAGTATTGGCTTATTGTTATCCACGAGAAATATTTAAAATTATGATTAATCTCATATTGTCCTTTTCCGAATACATTGCATGATATTTTTAATAAAATTGTGTTTATACTATTAAATACAAAATATACAAACTGTTGACGTATAATAATAAATCATTAATTCTATATAGAAAGAAGTATTTTTACTTACTTTGATACTTGTAAGTGAAATACTTTGTCATAAATATAAAACTAAGAAAATATCATATTCATTAAAACGATTGAAATGACAAATAAATTTATTATCCTTCGTTAATAATCCTTATTATATTCAACAATTGTTATTTATCAAAAACTTCATTGATCAAACTATAAAAACACAGCTTTTATTTAAAAAAAAATAATAAAAGATATCTCTTTGCTTCGAGTGTACACATATTCTGCAACATTAGAACTGACGATAACAGTATATCTCCGTATATCCCTCGATATCACTTAAGTTTAATCTATCGTATCATTAAACTACTTAAATGATGAACGCCGTCGATTACATTATTCCGCGCACAATTTGAATAAAGTGAAATAATCAAATAAGTATAATTGAAAGTAATATATAATATATTATTTCAATCAAAAAATGTTTCAATAAATATATATAATATTACATTTATTTTACGTTAAATTATAATAAAAGAATAATGTGCAAAAGGATATATAATCGTAATTACAATTTATATCAATTTATATTGTAATATTCATCCATTAAAGAATTCATTGTTTCTAAATACAACCAATCCTTCCATTCTTGATTTATGTTATTTTCCATGGTAATTTCTTGAAATATTTCACTTCTTTCGACCTATTTAATATATATTCATATATCATAAATATATAAATATTTTATTCAATAGATATTTTATATTTTTATTTACCTCGTGAAAATTCAACTTTCGAAACATATTTATACTCTTTTCATTATCGATCATTATTTTAACTCGATATCTTTTTACATTCAAGACATCTATACCTACGAATATAATAATTTTGTTTATAGACGTAATATATACGAAGTAAAAAAAGTCTATATACAATATATATATATATATATATATATATATATATATAAGGACTAACCCTTGATTTACATGATAGACATTTGACTGCAAAAGTATCATGTAAATGAAAATCGTGTAAATTGAGTCTTATATTTACATAGAAAATAAGATAATAAATACCACGATAGTCAAATAATTTAAATATTTTTCTTTTGTTTAACAAATTTAATGACTTATTTAATTATTATTATTAAATAATTAAAATGTATAATTTATACATATATATACAAACCGTAACGAAGCATAAGTAATACAGCTTCCCCCCCTCTTCTTTTATTCCTATTTTCTTTTTCTGCTATCATGATTTCAGCTTCCGCCGTATATTTACATTCCATATCATTAAAGAATAAATTAGTATCACCGATCATAGCAGCTATATAAATTAAGTGATAATCAAAAAGAAAAAAGAAAAGAAAATTAATAATGCTGATTATATTGTTAATGTAAAATTTTTAAATGTATTAAAAGTTTTGGGATTTCGAACATACCGATTTCATCCCCTGTCGATTCGAAAATCGATTTGTCTAAAATGATGAAGGTACATTCTGAAAATACATTAAAAAGTATTTCTATATTAAATAAATTAAAAATTGTTTCTGTATATATTTCGTGATATTATAATAATTTTTCATTTGAATTTCTCGCATTAATGGAGGCGAATATATATATATATATATATATATTTTAATTATTATTTATGAAAATACTTAATATATTTTTATGTTGGAAAAAAAATTATTTAAAATAGATCTTCATATTAAATAATAAAAAATATTCCCTATATATTTCGTTCTATAATTGAAATAATGTTCAATTTACTCTTCTCATCTAGTAGCCAATCTTTTTGCATTTCGTATTCTTCCGCCAAAGTTAATGGTTCCGAGGCTGTAAGATATTGTAACTCTGGTGATTTCATCCATTCGTGATATCTAAAAATATATTAAAGTTTTCAATATTGTTAAATATACAAAATAGTCAATTTTTGTGTCAAATATGGTTTTGTGCATTAAAAATGGTGGAATTAAAATAATTGAAATGTTAGATGAGATTTAAATGTTTTAAAGATTTAATCTAATACCTCGTAACGTGTTTTTCCTTATATGGAACTAGAATCACATTTTGACCGATAATACGAGTGGACTTATTCTTTTTCATTATGTTTATGAGATTTCTAGGAAAGTCTTAAATTCATTCCAAAACGGCGATGGAGAAGAGGTTATCTTGTCAACGTTCATCGATGCTCTGCCATATTGAATTTGTCGGGGGTATGATGTTCCAAGGGGTCGAAATATTTCAGTAATATTTTATTGTGGCGTTCATTATATACGTATTACGGCATATTTAAAACAATTTATAATATTCAAAATTCACGTCAGGAAAAATGGCTTATAATTTCCCTGGAGTGCCAACAGCGGCTATGTCGCCAATGGGTAAAGCTCTTCATAATAATTACACATTCTTTACCTTAGACATGATATAATTATTATATTTCTCTAGATCATGTAAAAATATTTTTAATCGTAAATATGGATTTTTCTATTAAAAACAAGGTATGGGTCCGATGGGACCATTAGGACCAATCACCGGACCTCAAAGTTTCATGGAACTTACTGGTCAAGGATTTCCTCCTTTGCCACCACCTATACCTCTTCCCGGAATGAATGACTCGCCATTAGAATTCAGTACAAATAAAAACCAGCCCCCTGTTGTACGCGAAAGTTCAGAAGATACCAATGACAGACGAAGTGACAAGAATGATAGCAGACGAGAACGAGATAGTCGTGATAGTAGGGAAAATAGAGACAACAGCAGAAGGTGTTTATTGTTTTTTCTACTATATATAAAACGGGTCACTTTGGAAAGATAAATATTTAGATTTCATTATATTTTCATTTAGGTCAAGAGGTGATCGTAATGAGCGAAGAGAAAGAGATCGAGATAGAAGAGAAGAACGAAATGAAAGAGATCGAAGAGAGGATAGAAGAGTAGAAGATAGAAGCAATAATATAAGTTCTACGAGTAATAACAATAATCATAGCAATTCAAATAATTCTGATATACAATCTAATACAGCAAGCAGCACACCTAGTTTAGGACCGCAAATGGAACCAGCTACAGGAGTTTGGGGAATGGGTGTTGGATATCCAATGATGGGAATGGGACCAATGGGACCAATGGGTCCTATGATGGGTGAAATGACATTAGGTCCACATATGGGTCACACTCATGGTTATGGACCCATGAGTATGGGAATAATGCCGCATGAGAGTGGTATGATAGGTGCTCCAATATTAGGACCTGAACAAATCATGACAGATACAGCAGCTCAAATAATGACTGGTGCATTGCCACCACCATCTGCTCCTCCGCAAGGTACCAAAGATATTATACACTGCAAAAGTTGTACATTGCTTCCGCCAAATCCAAATGCACCACCACCGACTACAAGAGAAAGACCTCCAGGATGTAGAACAATTTTTGTTGGAGGTACATATCTTATATTTTATAATTTTATCTTTTATTGAATATATTTTTAGTTTCTTAGTATATTATTAGATGTATTATTAAACCTTGGTATATGCGTAGGTTTGCCAGAAAACATGACAGAAACAATTATTCAAGAAATATTTGAACGATGTGGAGAAATAACTACTTTACGTTTATCCAAGAAGAATTTCTGTCATATACGTTTTGTTTTGGAAGCTAGTGTTGATGCTGCTATTTATTTGTCTGGTTATAGAGTAAGAATAGGTTCCAATGGAGATTCCGCAAATACCGGAAGACTTCATGTCGATTTTGCACAAGTATGTTAATAATGTTCTTATTTTATATTTATTTTGATTTCATATTTATATATTATACATGCCCAATATATAGGCAAGAGATGATCAATACGAATGGGAATGTAGGCAACGACAATTACAACGAGAACAACGTCATCGAGAAAGAGTAGAGAAGGAACGTCAGCGTCCACCATCAAGCCCACCACCTGTTGTCCATTATACAGATCATGAAGCATCAAATATATGTGAGAAAATCAAGCAGGATGATACTTTTATGAAAGCTGTACAAGTAAATCTTTATATTATTATTTTGTTTGATTTTTGTTGATCAGTATCAACAAAAAATAAATATATATATATATAAATATTCACAATATTATATTTTGCACTATTTATCTACAGGTCGTTGTAACATGGCTCGAGCGTGGAGATTGTACAAAGCGCAATGCCAATACCTTTTACTCTATGATACAATCAACAAATTCTCACGTCCGCCGATTGCTCACGGAAAAGGCTGCGTATGAAGAAGAATTGCAAAAAGCAAAGGAGGTCATGAAAGGCAGAATGCAAGGATTGCTCATACAATGTACGTGTATACTTTCTTCTTATTTTGTCATGTGGGTCTCTACCATTGTACATTTTACTTTGTATGCAGAAGTATACTGCATACATGTGTCGCTTTATCTGGTAAGTTTATTGTTGTGATAAATTTAAACGAGTTCTTATCCTCATCCAATTTGGATTTTATCAACAAGTTCCAAATCAGTATCACAATGATTTGGTCGATATATATAATGAAAGCATATATTTTCTTCTTTTTTTCATCATTAAAGCAAATATTACACATTATGATGTGGTAAATAGCAAATTTGTTTAGTATGTTATCCAGGTACACATAAAGGTATGTCACATATATTTCAAGTTAATTATAAATATATACATATATATATATATATATATATATATATATATATATATATATGATTGTGTATATATATATATAGATATATATGTATATATCTTATAACAAAATCTTTAAAATATATCAAATATTTCAAGGTAATATTATCGAAATTAGAAGCGACGCAAATAATTAATCAATTCTATTCTATAATAATCTTGTTAAAACATATTCAAGTTTGATTACATCATTAAGTAACATTCATTTCTACTATGGTCAATGCACATTCAGGGACGACTTGATAGGGAGGACAAAGAAAATAGGAGTGTATAAGGTGGGTGACGAATGCTGTCTTTCGATTCAGACTCTGATAATTATAACCAATGTGCACAGTTCATCATAATGTTCATCTAATAGAAACATAGTGTACTGAAAAGTTGCATGCTTGCCAATGCTAAGAATTAAGGGTGATGGGCTATATTTTCATTGTAAGGACAATTTTAAATTGTAATTTCTTGTAATGTTCTTTATCAAATTCAAAAACATAGTTTCTTTTTTTATCAAACTAGATAGTAAATAAATAAATAAAATATATATATATAAATATATAAGAATATATATATATATATATATATATATATATATATATATATATATATATCATGGATACTCCAAAAAAATATTTTTTCGTATGAAGCAAATACATTTTAAAATTGTCTTAAACATTGGAAACCTCCACAGATTGTAAGTCATTAAGCATAAATTGTATGGCAAATAATGCATATTTTCTCATAGAAAATAAGCATTGTTTGTCTTGTCAACTTTGAAATAGATATTGGCAGCAGAGGTACAAGGTGGAAGGAATTAGGAAATAATATCATTAAATATAAATGTTTATTAAGATTGGTCGTTTATATCTACAAATTATACTGACTGAAGCTTAGCATGATATATATGAATTTAAAAGGACTATCATCAAGAATACCTATAAATACATGTAAATTGTGCTGAATTAGAGGTACAGTTAAATATATAAGAATTCTAGAGTGATACTTTTATCAGATTTGGTCACATACCTGCAGAATTTAAGCAAGTATATGTAAAGTAAGAGAGAGAGAGAGAGAGAGAGAGTGAGAGAGAAAGAGAGAGAGAGAGGGAGAGAGAGAGAGAGAGAAAGAGAGAGAGAGAGACAGAGCATATATATAGTCCAAAAACAAATGTAGAGTTTGAAAAAAGTGTACAACAGAAGATTTGTTGTGTTTTTGTATGCAACATGCGACATCCATGTCATCAACAGTCAGTCAGATCGAACGTGTCTTTACTGCGGCTAGCCACAAGAAGGTGTGGGATCATTTCACTAAGGCTCAACGGAAGAACATCGAAATGTGGAAGAAACAATCTTCGGTATGTATGTGCATTCCCACACCAGCAGAGTGTCAAATATTTTTCTTTTATGAACAATTGACAGCAACCTTGATTAAGAATTTATTTTATATATTGCTTATTTGTGCAATTGCATGATACCTATTATAAGCCAAGCACGCTCATTTTGCAAAACAATTTTTCGAATATGCAGGTAAGTATGAAAAAAGGAAAATGCTTCATAAAATGGTCAGACACATGCTTTCTGCACGCAACAATTTTAAACTTTTGTTGGAAAAAAACGCTAATGAAAAAGGTAATGCATAATTTGAGCTACGTAAGTAGGGCAAATATCCATTGGAATAACAGGTAACAAAGATCTAATGATCTTAGTAACAGAAAATAGATCATGAAATGATTAGCATGGATTCATGAAGAATTCATGCAATTAAAAATGAGTTTTCTCTCTAATACATTATTTCTTATATATATTTTATTTCTGTACTTCAAAAACACCAATTTCTCAAAATGTAAAATAAACTCATTTAATATTTTTTATCAATCGAATTTACCATCATGCAAGCTTTGAATTACAGAAAATGTAGCTTTATATTTTTATATGTTCCAAGCATTGTATGTCAATTATAACAATGCATATTAGAAAAAAGTCATTATTTTGTAAGATGACAACCTGTGCTGATCCAAAAAAAAACAGCATATTATGCATGATTCTGTGTACATATTAATTTATTTTAACTTCTACCAATTTAATAATTTTGATATAATAGGAAATTAAAGCAGTTCAATTAGAAGAAACTCTTATGGAAGGGGAAGGTGAAATGGATGTCTCAGATTGTGAAGAGGAACCGCAAAGGAAAAAAACACGTATTCAAACTGATAATATTGATGATAGTGAAAAAATGCAATCTTTGAAAGAAGAAAATGATAGTTTAAGATGTCAACTAGAAGCATATAAAAATGAGGTATAAAAATGATATTAAAATTCATATATACTTATAATTAGATAATTATATATCATTTTTACTAATTTTCATATTATGGAAATTTCTACTTCTTCAGGTTGATTTATTGAAGTCAGAGACAAAGTCAGATATTGATGCAAAAGATAAACAAATGAAAATGTTGCAACAAACATTAAAAGGTATGCAAGAACAGCTATTACAATCTAGAAAGCAACAAGCACAAGATGATCAGAAAATAAAAGATTTAACTGTCAAACTTAATGCCACTAAAAGAGAAGAACCTCGGGAAAGTGAAATAATAACTCTTGATAAAGATGATGATATTAGTGAAGAACCTCGTACACCCAAACAATTAATTTTGGCATCTAATTTTGTACAAGTTACACAAAAAGATGCCAAACTTATAGGTAAAGAGTTATTTCATTTATGTATACAAGTTATTAATATTTTCATTTATATTATATAAGTTTATTATTATAATCAATTAAACTTGTAGGTTTGATAGCCACATTTTTACATATACACCCATTTGGCGCAAGTGTGGATTACTTATGGTCATATTTACAAAAATTAGAACCAGGAATCAAACCAAATGAAGTGGAAGTTTTAATGCAAAGATTCCCACAAGTTTTCAAACAAGAATTATTTGGCATTGGAGCAAATATGGAAAGGCGATGGCAATTTTCAGGTTTTAGTGTTTATCGAAGTCATTAGATATTGAAAATTTCTTTTGATTTTTGGATTATTATGATGATAATATCTAACTCCACGTAATATACAGTTATTATTATTGTATATAAATTTTAATTTTTTTTCACAATTTCAACAGTCTTTCACAACTGAAATTTATAGTTAATGTCTATATGATGTTTGAAAAATGCAACATATTATTATGAAACACATAATAAAAGTGTAGTATGTCATTAATCAGTAGGAAAAAAAAAATTACATTTATTAGTGTGATTTGATACTATATCAAAGTTCTATGGATTTATGATATTATAATATTTGTATAACGTATAATTTGTTTCCCTATTTTTTTGTTTCAAATTTTAATTATACATTGTTAATTGTCCCCAGTATCCAAAGATAATTTTATAATTATCAAAATAACATTACTCTAACACAGTACGTTTATAATAAGGAATGCGTGTATGTGTCACGTGTGTGTGTATGTAGTTGTATATATTTATATGAATTCTTATGTTCCCGTGAATGTAAGTAAATAATTTGTATTACAAAATATAACAAATGTTATGAGATTATTCAAGTCTAATATAGATTTTTTATATCAAATATGATTATTTATATCTGGATAAGAATCTAAATAAAAAAAAAAAGAAAACCATTATTTATACTTTCAATTATAAATATGTGTCTCGACTACGAATGCACAATCATCGGTGTATAATATGAAATCTCTATATGAAATATGTAGTCTTGAAAGGTCAAAACTACTCTATGATTTTGTAATGGTTCAGACCAACAACGAGTACAGACGTAATTTATGACCGATGAATAAGGTCTCATATTTAAAAAAAATTTGTTATTATTTTCTTTGAAAAGAATCATATCAAAAAAAGGTGTTTTTTTGGCAATAATTCATGCATAAAATTAAAGCTTTTTAAAAAATACGGAAAAGCCATGTTTTTGTTTAAAGCTTCATTTTTAAAATGAGGTCTTGTTCATTAAAATCGTTCAAGGATTTCATTTGGACTCGGTGTTGGCGGTAAACATTATTTTTGACATTTTTTGTGAAAAAAATTTTTCGTACAATGACGCCTTTTAAACTTTGCAGCATAAAGAAAAGCTCCTATTTATTCCTACTGATTTTCATATAAAAGTTAAAATTATGTTTTTTTTTGTAAACGATTTTTTTGCTGCGTAAACTGATTTTCAAATTTTTTTATCCACTCAAAATCCAAAGAAAAATTTCGCCATGTTCATACATAGAAGTTACGATAATTTATTCAGGCATTTTAATGAGCTTTCGACTTATAATTCTTTGATAAAAATAACCAAATATTTATTCAGTCTTTCATGCTAATGAGTCACTTCAAAATAATATGTAATTTTTAAATAACATAATTATGTAAATGATGTATAATAAATACGGAATAAAATAACCTAATATTTAAATAATAATGTACATTCGCTTAAACATTACACGGCTAACATAACACGTATTAAATATAAAACAATTTCAATTTAATATTAAAACAATTAAAATTTTCCGATTGTAGACTACACTTAATGTCAACAAAAATTAACGTTCGACCGATTTTGATATTTATCGATTTATTCTTCTTTCACATTCCGACAAGGAAACATCGAAGATCTCTCTTTCCAAACGTCTAAGATCAAACGATTAATACTATTAATAATAATAATAATAATTTTATAACGATATATTTAAACGATGTATAATGTATGTATATGGAGTAAAATAAACTAATTGTACTTATACTATTGTATAACATACTCAAAACAAAAAATATAAAGTAAAATATAATTAGCGAATGCTTTGTAATTAATTTATATTCAGAGAAGTATAATTTGGCACATGCTGTTTTTCTTTTTTTAGTTTTGTTAGATATACCTCTATTTCTGCTATAAATATAAAAATTTCTTTCATATTAATTCGTTAGATTATGCTCGAGAGCAACATAACCTATACAAATTTATATATCGATACAGTAAGTACGTAATAGCGATAATGTTTCCCTATCACTTCTGTAGTTCATATTTTGTCCACACCTGTCGCTAAAGTCGCCTATATTACGAGCGAAAGGTGGGAAACAGCCTTAAGGTCACGTCATGAAGAAATTGAGAGAGTCATGATGATATCAAATGAATTATACGTTAATATCGAATAGAATCGTTAAAATTTTTGTAAAGTATCTTGAAAATCATGTATAAACTTGTGACTGTATTATTTTAATATATTTTACCATGTGTTTTATAATCTTCCCAATAATAATATGACAATCTGTGATGTCTGATTACGAAATGATTACGTTCGTTGCTTTTATGGAATTATATTGTTGTAATCATGTGTGATAATGTAAATAGTAATCCATTTGTTGGATTGTTCTCTACTATAAACGATGCCGTATTGTATTCAACACGAGTTATCAATGCTGAAAGCAATGACAAATATACGAGTCAATCTATCGAAGAAAATAACGATAAAGATGAAAAATTATTTACCACCCAAGTATCTGAAAGTTGTCAAATAAAATCAGAAATAATCAATAAACTTATGGCAGATGTATTTGGTTTGCGATTAAAATCGAAGGAAGGAACACAGATAGAAAAAGAATTGATATTTATTGATACTGACTCTGTAGAAAATGCTATTTTTGAAAGGTTAATGATATCCAATCCAAAGACTAAGCTAATCCTACAGCGAAACTCAAATGGAACTTATATCGATGGTCATATTCTTGATGCACAAGTTATACCTTATCTTTATGAAAGTTTTTGTCGCTTGAGAAAGTATCGAGCAAATCAAGAATTTTCCGATGATATTAATAATTTACAACATATCATTTTGAGGAATGTTGCTACAGCTTTACAAGAACCGGGTTTATTTGAAAGTCAAGAGGTAAATAAATATACTATTTCTTTTTATGACTTATTAATTTTGGAATTATATTAGAAGTAAATAAGAAATATATATTGTAATTTTTATCATTTAGATTCATTACCAATTTATCGCTTTATTCATGGAAAATATTTCAATAACACCCGAACTATCTGTATTTACTAATGGTATAGTAACGGAAATATGCTCTGGCAATGAAGATACATGGGAGGATATTATTAATGTATCTTTTAGTCCTATTCTTGCTATTATACACAAAGAAGCAGTTCAAAGCAATCTTTTAATATTTCGTCAATATTGGTTTAGTCTTCTTTATCTTTTTTCTTCAATTGAACCTTTAGCAAAATTACTTATACGCTATAATAAACCAAAGTCTAATCAAGGTCGGGACTATTCAAATACATTGTTAGGTGCTTTGTTTCGTTTGAGTTGTTTGCCAGAAACAATTGATGCAGAATTTGATTTTTTTGATAAACCATTTGAGAAGGTAAATTTATTCAATAATTATCATATACATTGATTTAATGATTACTATATTTTTCTTATTTTCATATTTATTTGCTTTTAGCCTACTGATACAATCAAGGCTAATATATGGACAGCATTGGACGCACTAAGCGAATCGTTACAACGTATTTTTCATTCCTTATTAAAATGTTCTGCGGAAGTCCGTCATATGACTCTGCAATGGATAGGAAATTGCCTTCATGCAAATACAAATAGAGGAAAGCTTTGGAATTCTCATAATGACATTAATTTTGGCGCATCATTATGCGTATCAGATGGATTTATGCTGAATTTGGGGAGTATGCTGTTGCATCTCTGTCAACCATTTTGTGTTAAATTGAATGACACAAAAGTTCCTAAAATTGATCCAACATATTGCGCAGTGGAGGTTTGTGTACTGAATGCAGTCCTAGTTTTACAGATAATTTAAAAAACAAATACAAATTTCAGGCTGCAGATGAAAATGAAAGTCGTATTCGCGGTTTACATATGAAAGGAATGACTCAAGAAACTTGTTTGATACCAACACCAGAAGATCATGTAAGACCAATAGCAAAATCTTTTGGTTTTGTAACAGAGTGTTTCTTTTTAACGCATCGTGCGCTGGATCTTGGATATAGAGTTGTTTTAGACAAACTAATGAGGTATATAATAGTAATGCTTTTATTTCTTATGTAAAACATGTTAATGCCTTTCATTATTAAAATTACAGATCAGAACAAGACTTGGCTAGTATTCAACGAGTTTTTAACGATTCTCGTAATGGTGGTAGTTCAGAAGTTATGGAGATGATTACTCAACGATTGGAAATGGAGATGACAAAGTAAATGTTAATAATAAGAAATCATTTTGTTATTTAATACAACAAAGTTCGCATCATGTTTGAAATTTATATTACAGGTACTTGTCTTTAAAAGCTAGTTTATTAGCTCCTGAAATGTTGAATCTTTTAGCCAAATTTCATGCAACAACAGCACACTGGTTAATACAAGTAAATTTAAATGAGATAAATGAAAAAGATGATAATAATGATTATGCACCAAAGCAACATAGGCCCCTTACATTCCCTTTGTCAGAAATAGTTCCAATTACTTTAAGGTACAGTACATATATAATTTTTTACAATTTCTATGTATTTCCTGATATAATCTAGTATTATATAATTATTATATTATAATTATTATATATTATAACATAGGTGCATTCCTGAATTTGTAGTGGAAAATACAATTGGATTTTTATGTTTTTTACGAAGATTCAATCCTTATACCTTTGAAGAGCAAGGAGAAAGTTTGTTGAATCCAATATTGACAGAGGTAAATTATTAGTAATTGTTTATTGTTATTTTGTTATAAAGTATATATTAAGTATAAATAAAAATAAAATGATTTATTGTCATAGATAATAATGTTAATGGATCAACATCGACTTTACAATCCTCATTTACGTGCAAGATTAGCCGAAGGATTAGGTTCACTTTTACCTACTACAGAGGAAGGTGTTAACCCAGGATTAGGTCCTCTAAGAACATTCCACAGGCAACAATTATTTAAAACGCATCCACATGCTAATCAAGTTAGTAATTAATTATTCAACTTTACGTATAAATTATTAAATTAGATTATATAGTAATAGTATTCCTTTATTGTTTATATAGATAGTTTCCCATTTACTTCAAGTATTCGTTAATATTGAAATGACTGGGCAAAGTGTACAATTTGAACAAAAGTTCAACTATCGTCGACCTATGTATATCGTTATGCAATATTTGTGGAAATTACCTGAACACCGTAATAAATTCGTGTATGTTAAATTAATAATGATATGTGACATACACCTGTATACCTGAAATTTAATATTATTAATTACAAAAATGTATTTTTTTTTCTATGCAATTATAGCATTTTAGCTCAAGATGCCGAAGCCAATATGGAAGCCGTACATCCACCCTTGTTTCTATGTTTTATCAATCTTTTGATGAATGACGCTGTTTTTTTGTTAGATGAAGCTCTTTCTAATATGTCACACTTAAGACAAATGATACATGCAAGGTAGGTTAATGTAAGATATTTACAGTGAAAGTTTTAATTATATTTTATATAGATATTAAAAATTATAACAAAAATAATATTATTTCCATAATTTTTAAGGGAAACTGGGGAATGGAATAAATTACCTCAACATGAACGTGTTCAACAAGAAAATTACCTTCAACACATAGGCACGATTGCTCAATTTGACAATATTTTAGGCAGAAAAACTATACAGACGATAAAAATGTTGACGTCTGAAATAAAATCGATTTTTTGTCATCCAACGATGGTAGATCGGATAGCTTCGATGCTTAATTATTTACTGTTGCAATTAGTTGGACCTAATAAAAAAAATCTTAAGGTGCTTAATTTTAAGATTTTAGAATTTATAATATAGCTTTATGATTATAATATTATATTGTATTAAACTTATTTCTGCCAAAGGTCAATGATCAAAAAGAATATGGATTCGATCCAGCGAATTTGGTGTTAGATATATGTGAAATCTATGTTAATTTAAGTGAAAACAAGTCATTTACATTGGCTGTATCTCAAGACGGTCGTTCTTATAGTCCTGATCTTTTTAAATTAGCAGATAATGTACTTGGTAAGATTTTTGTCTTCTATAATATTTATTTTTAAATTGATTTTCCTTTGATCATTTATAACATAATATTTCATTATAGTTCGTATAGGGGGTTTAGATATATTAGGAGATTTAAATCAATTTGCCAAAAATGTGGAAAAAGCTGCAAATCAAAAGAAAGAAGAAGATGAAATTCTAACAGAGGCTCCAGAAGAATTTCTTGATCCTATTATGTCAACTCTAATGGTTGATCCTGTTACTTTACCTTCATCAAGAATAACTATTGACCGACAAACCATTGCCAGGTTGAATTTAAATTATCGACGCTTATACACTTTACTATAGACATGTAGGTACAATAATTTCATGTTTTTATTCTAGACACTTATTAAGTGATCAGACTGATCCATTCAATCGTTCTCCTCTTACTATGGATATGGTAAAATCGAATACAGAACTAAGAAATAAAATACAAGAATGGATAGCGAAAAAAAAAGAAGATATATCATTTAAAATTTAACGATGTTATTTTCTTAGAATAAAAATGTACAAATATATTACTTTTCTCTGTGTGTAATATTCGGGATAAAGTCATTGTATAGATTTACATATAAGTAATAGAAGTATACACAAACATATAAATTTATTAATACTATTTCGCAGACCATTTTAGTTCTTAATTGTGTATGTGTGTGTATATATATATATGTATATATATAATATATATATATATAATATATATATATACATACACACATACATACATCAGCTGAGGGAAGAGGTATTTTATTCCGTAATTGAATGTATAACACTTCATAAAATAAATTTTTTGAACATTACCACAGACTTAAAAATAATATAGTATAAAAAAATATATTATATATTTTTATTTAATATTGTAGGTAATTGGATAAATTTCATCTATAATTCATAAAAATAATTTAATTGCATTAAATTTGTACAAATTATTATTATCCTATCTAAAGTTACAAATTATTTATAAGTTCATCAAAAGTTGTAACAAACCATTTTGAATTTAATTTAACACTTTCTCTAATTACATTTCCTCCGAAACCTATAATTAAAATTTATATATCATAGTGTAAAAGAAAAAAATTATTGTAAATATTATAAATTATCATCGAATCGAACAATGTTTGTATAACAATTTTTATTATATTTTTTAAATTAAATATATATACCTATAAATGCATCTGCTGGAGGAGAAGCTTCTAAATCTGTTGCGCCATCTCCAACATGAACAATAGTTTCAAATCCTCTTTCTTCTTTCAGAAGACGAATAACTTCAGCTTTACCACCACTTTTTGATGTCAGTTCATTTTCGTCAAAACCCGCATAATCTCCTAAATATAAAATATATTCTTTATTCTTGTTTTTAATCCTCTTTTAATTATTATCTTTTAAGGAGAAATAATATACTAACCTGTAAAATAAAATTTAAGTCTATTTGCATAAATATTTTTGGATGGTATATTAAGTTGTTCTGCAACCGAACGTATTAAACAATGGAATCCTCCAGAAACAAGAAATACTTCTTTTTTATGTGAATGCAATGCTTTTACCAAATTTCTGTAATATTAATATATTATTAATAAATCTAATATATTGTATAACACTTTTATGTAATAATATTTTATAAAAATGTATTACTTTATTCCCGGAGTAAGCTGTGGAGGATGTACTTGTATAAATTCTTTAATCTGTGTTATACTAGGTCTTATAATACCTAATCTTACTGAAAGAGATTGTTGAAATGTCATATTTCCTTGCATTGCTTGCTTTGTTCTAGAATATTGTAAAAATAACATATTATAAATTATGAAATTGATCTGTTAAACATAATTAAATTTCATATCATTTTTTTCACAGATAATGCATTGAAAAAATTTTAAATATACTCACAATTCAGTAACTTGTTTGCCTTTGCCACAAAATTTGGCAAGTTCATCTATGCCCTCATCTTTGATGACAGTAGAGTCTACGTCAAAAGTTATTGCATCAGCAATTCTCCAAATAGTTTTTATTTTTTCTAAATTTGCCATGTGTGCTCCTATTATTTAAAAAATGTACGTAATAATCAAAACATATTATATAAAAACATTTATATAATGTTATTGTTCAATCATAATTTTATTAAGTAAACATTTCTTTTAATCAATCATATACATATATATTGATTGCAACAAAAACTTAACAACAAACTATTAATTTCGATTTATTAATCTAGCAACAGAATATATTTTTTCCATTTTACAAAGTTACGATAGATCCATTGGAGTTGAACAATATCACAATAATATTGCGTGAGAATGACGTGACGTGAATTAAAAATGCACATCATGTGACTTGTATATTTCCAAAAGAACATATATTATATATCAACTACAAATAAATATTAACTAATGATTAAAATATGTTACAAATTTATATTGCTATTTAAGATTTAGATTTAAAAGATTAAAAAAAAAAAAATGGAAAATAAAAAATAATTATATATTATTTATGTCTAAACTGACAAATAATTCTCAACATATCGTATTATATGTACAAACACACACCTATATATGTATAGATATTTTTTAAATGTACATATTATGCACATTAATCATACATTTTTTATCGATAAAGATAATTTCCAATGATAAGTAAAATCACATATGGGGATTTACATACTTCACATATCAGAAAAGATAAACGGTAATTGACTTCATCACACATACATATACACAAGTATATATATATACACTACGCACTCAGAACTTTACTTGTTATGTAAGTAGTGAAATCGGTCTACGGAAATTGATAATGAATCGTTAGAAAATAGTTTGAACAAAGATATTTCTTACAAAATGTTATATATCATTAAATGTATACGTATCTGTATACTAATCGTATATATTATATACATATATATATACATATATACAATTTATACACGTGTTAATTGTGTACACGTGTACCTCTTTTTGTTTGTTCAAAAAGTGCATATATGTGTATGTATATTGAAATGTACTTACATATTATTAATTATATCGGAAAACAATGAAAATAAAATATTAAAAAATATCTTTATAAATATTATTTAATATTTTTATTATATAAAAAATATTTGATCCACATGTAGATTTTTCTTAGACATATTTTTAATATTCAAAATTGCGATGAAAATAACCGATATGAACGTTTATGTGCCATAAAATTGCACTAATTGGAATGTAAAAGTTATGCAAACATAACGTAAAAATAAAAGTTATGAATGTATAGAGCAATGGTCTAATATCGAAATGGAATTGATTATATCGAAAAAATAATCGATAAATTGTGTGTGTCTATTTCGATTATTTAATGGTATATACGTATTATACGTATATAATGTCATACACGGAAGTATTTCATTAAAATTTAAAGGAAACAAATTATTATTATAAAAAAATTAACGAACTTGAAAAATAATAGAAGTAATAGGAAAGAAGTAATAGTGAAAGTAGTAAATAAAAAAGATCAATTTTTTTTTATTTGGAAAAAAAAAATTATCAATAAAAGTTCCATTATGTTACATTAATAGAAGTAAGACTAGTGCATGAATAAAGGAGATAATAAAAAAAAAAAAAAAAAAAAAAAAAAAAAAAAGAAAAGAAAATTAATAATAACTTAATTATTTAATTTATATGTCAAATGAAATTATTTCTTTTGTTATAGGTACGTATATATAAATATATATGTGTGTGTATATCTTCTCTTAATATTAATAATTATTATGATATTTTATATTATTAGTATTGTTTAATTGTGTCTATTGGTTATACATACGGAACGAATTAGATTTGCTTCGGTCGTAACAAATAAAAAAATATTTTATTGTTTGACTTTATCAATGATATTTACATTGAATTGTTAAGCGCGTCTTTCGCATGATTGAATTTGGATAAATTATAACGAGTACTTACGTTTTATATCAAAACAGAAGTGTAACGGTGTGACAGTGTTATATGTGCAACTTCTTGTGGATAAGTGCTTTTATAGTTTTCGACTGTGATAAGAATGTACTACTACTTGTACAACCTTCTTCGGCAATGTAGCAATTTATAATACTTCACATTAGATGGCGCGAGTGAAACAATTACGACAATCGTTTCATTTTCGTACATATTTAGGATATAAGACTTCTTAAAAAGATAGTTTAAAGGAGATAACAAAAGATTGTTTTTTTTTTTTTTATATAATAACCTTCATTATTTCATATTCATTTCGGAAGAAATAAGTGTAATATATAATATATAAAGATATCAGACGGTTACGTTAAAGTAATAACGATAAGTGGAACAAATAGAATATCAATAGATTCCCGCCATTTTTTATATTAACCTGTATTTAATAAATATTAATATTTAATAATTCGTGAAGAAAATCATAGACACGTTTAACATATTTATAATATATCATCATTTTATCGTGCTCATAAATAAAATATAATTGTATTCAATTCAATAAGATACATTTTTAAAATAGGAGAATAGATGTAAACATGTAAAGATGATGAATTGTTTCGTGATGATATAAAGATTATAGAAATATTGATCAATTGTCAGAAAATAGAGATTTCTATGATCATGTTCGTAGATTAAACGAAGAAATAAGGAAAAATTCTGATAAACGCAAGAAGATATTTACGATTTGGTATTAATCAAAAAACCGAATGAGAGAAGTGAATCCAGAAGGTGGCAGAAGTAAAAATGAGTGCGGAGGTGGAGAGACAGCTGTCGCCCGCAGTTGGCAACGAGTCGTCCGCGTCGAATGTGGAGCGATTACGTAGATCGGTAAAATAATAGAACAGAATAGAGAATAGGATAAAATATAATAGGATAAAATATAATAGGAATAATAGGTGATCCTTCGAGACGCACTTCTTCTTCTTCTTCTTCTTCTTCTTTTTATCCCTGACTTCTCTCGTTCTTTCGTTCTTTTTTCTTTTCACGTAACTTTTTCTTTCATATTTTTTTTTTCTTATTTCCCTCTTTTTTTTTTTCATATTTCTCTCATACTAATGGGATCGTGTGTAAAACTTTTAAGTTTCTTCCTTTTTTTCATAAGTCAAACCGTACGTACGCGTCACGAAGATTTACCTTGTCCTTTATCACTAACGGTACCCTTAGAAAAGGACAAGGTTCATAGATACGAGAATGGTTCTCTTTTTCACGAAGGTACTTTATATCCTACCAATTTATACTGGACCAATAACGATTCCGTACGTGGATGTATCTGCGAGCTACGGCCATGTCTGAGAAAATGCTGTCAAGACGGGGAGGTTCTCAGCGACGGCGAAACACCGAATTGTACAAAGTTACAAAATCACGACGTTCTTCCGGATTTACGATTAAAGAAAGACCAGTTGACATCTGAAATTCAAAATATACGAAGCATCGCCAATCATTTTGCTATTTTGCGTAATAAAATCTGTCATAATAATAAAACTTATATACTGGACCCGGAAAAGTACGAAGAGGATAAGATTACGATCGAAGCCAATGGTATTCTTAGAAACGAAGAAAATATTTATCCACAATGGATGTATTGTATTGATTGGGATCAATCTTTGAAGAAGATTATTGTTTTAATATGTTTTCAACAAGAAGAGGAATTACCATTACTTACCACTCAAATATATCCGATCATGACGATAGTGTCCATACCTTTCCTCATCATTACTTTTTTGGTTTACGCCATCATACCGGAACTTCGAAATATTTATGGAAAAACTCTTATGTGCTATGTTGCTTGTCTCACGATATCCTACTGTTTTCTCATCAATTCACAATTCAAGTATTTGCCTCGTAATATCTGCATACCCGTAGGTAAGAATTCTTCAACATTTATCGTATCATTGTTATTTAATTAATTATATGTTTATATATGTTATTTTTTTTTTATATATATAAATATAATTGTTAAACTCCAATTTTATAATATTTTGAAATGATATGTTCTGATTATTCAAAAATTGGTACTCGTGTTCGCGATGGACGATGACGTAAAAAAAAAATGGTCTTAAAATGTTTGCGAAATTTTAAGGAACATCCAATTCCTTGAATGACTAGTAGAATTTTATCGATTCAAACATTTCATTAAGAGATTACTTTTTACTTGTATCAAAATTCATATTTATAGCGAGCGTACTATATTAGGAATATCTAAATAAGTACGAGAAAATATCAAATGATGTAAAATTTTATATAAAATATCATTAATACTCGTACATATATATCTCTATTTTTGAACATATTGTGCAATCGTTATCACTCTTATGATTAACCTCACCATTACTGCAACGTTAACGATACTAACATGTGCTTATATGATTACGACAAATCTATCAATGATATCAGCAATTGCTCATATAATCAGAAAGATTTTACACGTGATGTTTTAGTTTAATTTGAAATTATAATAATATATGATTTATTTTATACGATAGATAATATATAGTTTTGATATTTTATTACATTTAAAATGAAAGATTTAAAATAAATGTTAGATACTTTTCTGGCTTCGGTATATCCTATTTACTTTTCTATATATATATAACTATTTCTAATTATTTCTGCACGAATTATTAAACATATTATTTATTTCTTCTCGTAATTTTCTTAATCAATTATATTTGAATAAAAATTTCAATGTGTTTAACGTGCATTTATCCGCATTAAATGTATTTAAATGTGCATCAATGTCGTCATCGTATTATCTTCCACATATAATCTGATCTTTAAATATCAGGGACACACAATTCTTTCTTGGAAAAAACAATTGGGTAGAATAAGCTCGTAATTGATTGTATATATCTCTTTAATTAATCAACAAAGTCTTTCTACCTTCAATTACTTGAGAGAAATTGTAAACGTGATCGTGACTGTTTACGACCTTATTTTCCTTCTTATTAATAAATACAACCAACGAATCAAGACCGGAATTCCCAACGGCCGCTATCGGTCTGATAGGGTAAAAAGGGTGGTGCTGAGCAACATTTTTCTTATATTCAGTGTTGCTGCTGATTCATCGCTGACAACATCTCTTTTGGATGTGTTTTAAGAAAATAAAACATGGCACTCATCGACGTTTTTGCGATAATTTTACTGATAGTTTTATTTCAAACAAATACGGTCGTAAGATCTTACACAAACTATTCGTATACGACGTCGGATACTGTGAATGAAGTGATTTCAATTAAGAATTTTAATCTTATCACGGATGGCAATATCAACGGAAATATAAAATTTGAGAAAGAGGATATAACAGAACCAACGAACTTTAATATATCAAATTTAATGGGTGATTAAATATATATTCTTCAAATATATTCAGCTGTCTGTATATATGTGTATATATATATATATATGTATATATGTATATATATAATATCGATGGGATTAAAAGAAAATACTTGTGATTATATTTATCTCATTATTGATAATTAAAATATCGTATGTCTTGTATTTTAAGAAAGCACAACGGACGAGGAAGCACTCATTCCAAGGCAAAATACGGAAGAAGATTATATTCGATATTGTGTTCCGGAAGGAAATTGTCTATCGTTTTGTTGTCCTCCTGGTTTCTACACTCTTCCGAAGAACAAGTGCGAAAGGATAAAAAATACATCGATACCTTTGCCACGAGTTTACGCGATGGATCTCTCACCGATGAATGTTACTACGAACGACAAGAATTTTCATTTCTTATATTGGAATCCTTGTATCGGAGCTGTGAAGACTCCCTTGAATCCTGCTATTTATCCAGAGGAACAATTCTTCCTTCTACAAAACGGTTCATTCTACTTGCCCTTTTCGGAAAAGGGCAAACAAATATTGAATCCAAGACAGTATTGTCTCTCCGTAATAAAATCCGTCGTCTTAAAAGAATACCTTGTTATCTATTGCGATAAGGAAGAAATAAAAGGAAAGTCAGTTATTCGTGGGATCCTCATTTCTCTCGGTATGATCGTATCGATACCATTCCTTCTAGCCACGTGGTTGGTTTACACGCTAATCAAGGAATTAAGGAATTTGCATGGATTCGTTCTACGTGCATACATCGCATCGTTGACCATATCATACACAATTCTATCGACAGTACAGATTGCGCCACAAGAATGGATCTCAAACGTGTGCTGTATTTTCCTTGGTAAACTCACGATCAATGTTATTACTTTTCTCACATTTCCCAGGGAAAATAATATCTACTTATTATATTAGAAATTAATCTCACTTAAATCTTTTTATCTGTAGTTATAAATTAATCTAACAAAAAATAAGTCATTCGTGAAAAATATTTGAAAAATATTAACTGATCGGCTTGAAATTGATAAAGATTCTTCGATACGTAATGCATGCCCATACTCGATATAAAATACGTAGTATAAAGATTAGATTAGAAAGAGTTCCCGAATCGCAAAATTGCGCCGGATGCTTTCGAAGGAACGTGATGGCTTTATCTTTAAGCGTTAGAGATTCTTCCAGGACGATAAGGCGTTTGCGGTTAAAAGGTTGTCGGAGGCTCGAACGAGTTGACGCATTGGATATGTCACAGAAATTCAATTGAAGATTACACGTTCGCGTAAGAATGGGCGGTGGTCGAAATATTAGCTTAGGAGTCGTTCTCGCGTACTCTTATTTTTTATTTTTGACGATCGAAATTTCATATTCGTCGAATTCATTTTTATCTTTCGATGATACCTTTGATAGAAATCTTTCAAGAACGAGTGTGATCGATTACTCTCATCGATGTTTTTCGTCTAGTGAAAACGTTGTTCCGTTTTGTTTACCCTTATGCTGTCACTGGAATCATATCCTGATAAATAGCACGTGTGTGATGGCGAACAAGACTGCCAAATTTCCGCCAGTTTACGATGCCGATAGCTTCGATTTAACCGATTTAGTTGTAGACGAAACTAACTTTCATTTCTTCGTAAGCGATCCCTGTAATGGAATCTCTAAAATGGAATCTAGCGGGTGTCTCATGGAAGATGATTTCTTACTTTTGCACAATGGTTCGATCTATATAATAAATCAAACTATAATTGATCCAGAGAATTATTGCTTTGGTATTTACAAACGGGATCAATACGAAGTGATAGAGTGTTGTTCATACGTTGACGAAGAAAGTATTAACAATAAGCTTGACATAATTTTTATTATTTGTCTAATAATATCGTTATTATTTCTGGTTATAACCTTTTTCATTTATTCTATAATACCAGAACTGAATAATACACATGGTCGTACTTTACGCGTTTATGTTAGTACTCTCTTTTTCGCTTACCTCTTTCTTGTGATAGTACAAACATCTTCGGAAGATATTATCTCGTCAACTTGGTGCATCATTATCGGTATCGTATCGTCAATCTGTCTTTTTCTATACTTTTATTATTCATAGTAATGAATTTGTTGATCGTTTCCATTCGAATAGATACATTTTTAATACTTTTGCATTCTGTTTCTATAAAAGAGTATACCTGAACAAAATTGGAGTTTACGTTTATCAATATTCACATTATATCAAATATTGTACATCGATAATGATAAAATCAATACGGCAGAATTATCATATTCGTTTATTTTTTCCATTGATAAATTTATTCCAACGATCTATACAATAAAAAGATAATATACGAATATTCTTCTCTCTGTTTCAGCTTTCTTTATGTATTTCTTCTTTTTGGCAAGTTTTTACTGGTTGAACGTCATGTGTTTCGACATTTGGTGGACATTTGGGTAAGCGATCAGAGTTTCAACATATCTCAATATATTCCATCTATTATTATCTTAAATGAAAAATGGGTATTTTTAATAAAATCATTTTAATGAATCATTCATGGGTAGTCATATTATTACATGTTCGTAGCTTTCATATTAGCGGTGTGCTTAATATTAAATATTTAAAAGTGTTGTCTCGACGAATACGAATTTTCTATGCTGCGTGCTTTTTCAATAACATACATCAATGGGATCGTAGAAAATACATTTCGGTTATTCTGGTCTGTGTATATATTTGTGTGTGTATGTGTGTGTGCTCTCCATCCTTATGTCAATTATTCTCACAGCCGGCATCGACATTGGTATCGGCACCAACGCGGCGATGGTAAGAAATTTGATAATTGACAAACATCGGGAAGAAATTGTAGATGACGTAGGGGCGGATTAATATCCCGTGCGTGACTCCGAACATACACAAACTTACACGCGTGCTAAATGTCCACACGTTAATTTCGATCTGTCTGTAGATACAGTAAACGAGCACTTCGTGTATTAGGTGCTTTTAACGATAATAACTGGCGATCACGTGGGAGATAAATTCACGAAGTTCAATCAAAAATGACAGTAGTCTTTTCTCTTTATTATTTATTCTATGTTTTTTTTTATTTTTTTATTGGTGTTATTAATGTTTCATTAATTTCTTTTCTAATCGATCAAAAGTTTTTTTTAAATACAATAGTATGTTTCCCTTGTAAAAGTACTTGATCGATCGTTTTAGCCGCATTCTTTTTTTACCATTTGAAAGAAAACTTACAAGTGTTGATTAATTAATGTATATTTATTATACAGTATATATATATAGCATATGTAAGACAATTTAATGAAAACAATCGAGACACGAAAACAAAAAAAACACAAAATTGTTTTCCAAGTAAAGGAATACTTTTTCACTGCTCTTGTTCCATGAGAGACGATTCTCTTGCCTATACAAACCAAACTGCTATATAAAACACAGCGGGTGTAGACCGAGGAAATTGCGGCGCTTAATCCAAACAAAATACAAAGAGACGAGTATCGTTTCGTTTCTCGAAATGTATTCGACGAAGGACGCAAGAAAAGTGGATATAAAACGAAAAAGTAAAGAAAAATGTAGGAAAGAACGAAGAAAGTAGCTTTAATAATGATCTCGTATCAATAATTTCTTTTCTATCTATGATTTTTAACAAAGTATACGCAAGAATTCAGAACCAATTAATTAGATTACATTTTTTTTTCTTTTTCTTAAGATTTAAACCTCTATCCTTAACAGAAACTAATCGTATAAAGAGGACATTTATTTCGTGCAATTAATTTTATCTCCGTAGAAGAATGAAAAAGCATTGATGTTCGTTAAATAGGGTGTTAACGAGCCATACTCGTTAACGTATGTACGTTACGTGTTAATCGCTCATTCGTTTAGCCAAGCCCTACAAACTCTCTATGTGTTGTAGGCTTTAATAATTTATCGTAAAAATAGTATATCTTTCATATTAGAATAAATACATATTATTTTAGTGTTACGTTTCCCAAATGGATATTTATGTAAATATTAACAACTCATAAAGGAACACAATATACAGCCAAATATTTGATGGCTTTCGTACATGATATCTTACATTTATATATATCCATAAGTGAATATTATGTATTGAATGAAATATTATCATTGTAAAGTGATCCATTCGTTCAGATTAATTAAACATTATCATAATTTCCCTGAGGTATTCTTTACTAACGTTTTTCATTTTTTTTTTATCATATATACCGAATATCATCATTAGACGCTTATATATATATATATATATATATATATATATATACACGTAAATATCTATATATCTATGTACGTAAATATATTTTTGTAGATAGTAAATAGGGAGAAAACGTATAAATCAAAAATTATCTCAAACAACGCAAATATGAAAATACAATTATATATTTATACATATATATAATCAACAATTATTTATATATTAATGAATATTATATATATTTTTCATTTATTTCAGAGGATTTCGAGCATTAAGAGGCAGTATGAAACAAAGAGATAGAAAGAAATTTATAATATATTCCATCTATGCTTGGGGAATGGCATTGTTGTTCACAGGTATATGCTTGATTATGGACTTTGCTCCTAACATACCAGAGAGTTCTATTCGACCACAATTGGGAGCGGAAAGATGCTGGTTTAAATGTAAATTTATTAATATCAATTTATATTTTAATTTATATTAATGCAAATTTATATTTTAATTATATATATATATATATATATATATATATATATATATATATATATATAAAGAGAGAGAGAAATAAAAGCAATGTCAAATAATATTATTTCAGATAATACAGCGACGAATATATATTTTATTGGACCTATGACGATATCAGTTTTCTGTAATCTATGCCTATTTATCTCAACCGCTTTAAAAATTCAAAAACATAAAAGAGATACGGCTCATCATCTAAGAGGTAGTGAAAGTAGACGCCATGACGATAATAAGCAATGGTATGTATCGTATAATATGATTTTTTTGTAGTTTTTTCTTTTTTTTTTTTAAATAAGCAAAAGAGTTCATATTATATAAAGAAAATATTATTTTTATATACAAAAAATATATATATATGTTAATATAAAAATAATTAATCTCATTATTAATAACATTTTAAATAATATCGAGTGACTTTACTATATCATACTCGTGCGAATCATCGATATGGTATGGTTATCTTTTCATACTAACACCAAAAGCTTATTTTTAGACGTCGCTATAGGGCAAGCGACAAGAAGATGTTCCCATGCCATAGTTTATTTTCATTATTACGAAATCATTCGTAACAACAATGAGATTACCTCGATATTAAAGCATCGGAATTTCGTTAAATAATATTCATCAATAATATTTCACAAGTAATGATAATAGTAGTATCAATTTTGTTAAAAAAGCAAATTAAATAATATCTAATCCCATCGCCGATTCTAAACGACGAATTTGTTCTTTAATTTAAAATATCTGTTTAGACAAAAACACGCGAATATGAATATATACTAAATAAATAAATATATTATTTTTTATGATTACAGGTTCAATCTATACTTGAAGTTGTTCATCGTGATGGGTATCACTTGGTCAACGGAAATCATATCCACATTATGGAAAGAATCAGATAATTATATTTGGTATGTAACAGATGTGGTGAATACTTTACAGGGTTTGATCATTTTCATAACGCTCGTTTGCAAAGAAAAAATTAAACGTCTATTACTTAAAAGATTTGGATATAACGATAATAAATTTTTGTCGAGAAACTCTACTCGTAGCGTTTATCACAGCTCAGCATCTCGTACTACTTGTACAACATTAACTAGTTTACCTCTTCAAGATAAAGTCAATGCAAATATTCGACACGAAGCATTTGGCACGAGTAAAGAAAGTGCCGAAGAAAGCGACTGTCCTTAAAATACATAATAATATTATAAAAACAAATCAATGTGATGTACAAAATACATTCGTTAATAAGAACGTATGTTTTTGATGGATGATAGATGAAAAAAATAGCCGACAGGCTTAAAGAGATGAGAGATGATTTTTACTTCGAAAATAAGTTATTCTCTCTTTAAAATCATATACATTGACATACGGCTCTTCTTATTCTTTATTTCATTTTTCATTTTTCTTCGAAACCATTTATTTTTCTTTTATATTTCATAATTTCATTAATTTATAATAAATAATAGATATATCATGACATTAGAATAAAGGAGATGGAATCCGTGAAGAATTAAACTACAACTAATATTAAAAGAACTGAATATTACAAAAATTCAGTTCTTTTAATATTAGTTGAACAATTTTTTAAATAAAAAATTATTAATAAACTATGCAGGACATAGTGATCGATCTATTATTATTGTTATTGAATTTAATGGCAAAGACACATTTCACTTGTGAAATTTATATGACATTCTGGTATCTCATTTTACAGATTTCGTACACTTGAATAAAGATATATATCTAAAGTGTATCATTCTCTATTATATATTTTGAATCTCTAAATATTTATTACTATTAAATAAATGTGATGCCATTAGTGCTTTTAAAATATTCCATAACAAATTATCTAATTATTCTCGCAAAATTCCTGTAACGTAGAAAACGTATAATTCGTTTTTGCTAAACGTTGAATCTATATAGTCTATAAAAATTAAAATTATAATAGAATATGGTAGTTAAAAATTATATATTGTAAGAAGTATGTACTTATACTTTTAATGAAAATAGTCACAAATTTTTCATAAGTAGGTTTCATAAAAGAATAATATATATTATATATATATTTTATATATCCATTATTATCATATCAGCTTCCATATTATCTTTTACACGAGTTTACGTCATTGATGAAATATAAAATATGTGTTTATATTATAAAACATCTCTGTTCATACAATTGTCATGTTTATACATTTATTTTAAATATTTATGAAGTAATAAAAGTACATTTTCTTTCTCTTTATCTTTTAAAGTTCGCGGAATAGCTTATTTGTTTTTTATATAAGAAAAAATTTTGTACAATTTTTTTTAAATATATACTACTTATACTAACTATGATATTGTTGAATTTATCTCTTATCTCTACATTCTTAATTTATTCTATGAAGTGGTAGTACATTCATAAGTATAAATGAAAAATATTTGAAAAAATATATGAGATACTAATTCATTCATTTAACTTGAAAAATCTATTATGGCATTTTACAATTGAATGATTGTGTCTACAACAAAAGAGCGAAACAATATTATCGATTAACATTTTCAACAAGCGAAGTAAAAAAAGAAAGATATTATTTGAGGAAAAGTATTTATTTTAAGCGAACATGTCCTCGCGATCCGCTCCAACACCATCTCCATCTTCCAGACTAGAAAAGTTTAGAAAATGTGCTGGCCGATGGACTTCGTGATAAAATTCTTTTGGATTAGCTAATTGTAACTCATATTTCGTATTTGGATTATGTCTTACACCTAAAAAAATATATTTCGTTTCAATAATTTTATTCAGAAAATTTGTAGCTTCTTTATATAAAGAAAAAGATTGATAATTTACCCATGAAATTATAATTCCAAGATCCCTGATTAGGTACCATAAAGAAACCAAGAAATCTATCAGAAAGAAGCATTTGTACTTTCTCATAATGACTTGGAAGATATCCTTTAGGATTATTTCCTTTATCGGTATTCTGTTTACCCCATTCGAATCCACTGGAATAAAAATATTATTTATATACGATTAAATACGATTATAAACAAAACGTAATGTTTAATACCTTGGAGTTAGTTTATATGCTGTCAAAGAACAAGAGCCTGGTGTAAAGCTACATGTAATGACAATGGTTTTTTCTCCATCCCAAATCGGATTATCCGCCATGATTCGTGCATGCGTCGAGATGTCCTATTAGAAGGTAAAGCAAATAAAACGTTATTAATAAATCAGTATAATGTATTAAATATATGATGTAATAAATATATAAATACCTGAGGCGATAATTGCGGCAATTCATTGGGTTGTGTATGTATCCATCCTAATGGCTCCATTTCTTTAAGGTATTGATGATTTGGTAATGCATTTGGTAAATGTACTGTTTGATGCGTGCCCCATTGTGGAGCCATTACTATACACCTAATTTCTTTTACTTGAGGATTATCCGGTGGACTAATCCCATATAGGTACCCAGCAATTTGTGCTCGTAAATCAGATATAGTGACGAATTTTTTCAGTACATTCTTTGGTAAAATATACGTGTAACCAGTTTCTTTAATATCATCGGAAGATACATATATATGATTCGTTCTAAGATGTAAATTCGTAGCGGATATTGCTCTTACACGCCACTCTGTTTTAGAACTAAACGTCTGAGTTTCATAATTGGATGTAGTCGCAGTGATAATCTCGTCACCGTGTTTATTAACTGTTCTAGTAGTAGTTGCTGTGAGCTGAGATTGCTCTTTTGTTTGTTTTTCAATTTCTGCGATTTGTTGCCGTTGCGCAGAGGGTGCACTGATTTCCATACCTAGAATAATATCTCGAATTTCAGATTGAGTGAGAGATGCAACATTGACATTGTTCTTTTTTCCATAATCGGCTAAAATCAAATCCTTCAATTGCACCTCTACTTTGATCCATTCGTCATCAGTTAAAGACGGCCATATGTGATGAGGTTCTGTTATAGTTGTTTTATCTGGCTTAAGTACAACCTTAGTACGTTCTGTATTAACGTGTAATGCTCGAAGAATGAGAATTAAACGTGAGAATGCTGTATAAGATGAAATTGTTTTCAACCAATCGTCATAGAGATTGAAGAGAACCATTTGTGGTTCAGTCGCCTTTAGAATAAGATCACCAAACTTTTCAACCTTTAAACAGGCCTGGAAAGGTAACTGAAGTTCTGATCCTTTGATTACTATATTGGGAAAATCTAGTAAATGCACCTCAAGAGGATCCAGCATTCCTTTTCTCGTTACGATAATTTGCTTCGGTTGTTCTTCTACGGGTAATGAACGAATAAGAGCTGCAACTTCTTCAGCAGTCTTCCATTTTGCTAATTGTCCTAAACGCTTCTGTCCAGCCCACACAGAAGTGTGAATAATCTTTAGGAACAACTGACCAGTACGTGGATTAAATATGAAAATCGCACCATTTATTGGTTTTGTAGTCAGATTACCTTCAAAAGTTTTATGAATTGTTACACGATATACGTTAGTGTCATCAACGAACCAAATAATTTGATTTGAAAATAATTCTCCATAATTTTGAGAAGAAAGATATGGTTCAGTAGGTTCTGATGAATATAATTGCAGAGCTTTTCTAATACGCTCTCGCAATACGTATAACGCCGGGTTTGCCTTCATTATCTTCGCCATAGCTTGCTGTATAAGTGGCTTACATCCTGGGAACCAGTTACCATATGCACTATGAAGATTATAAGCTAAATCGATAGCTATTAAAAGTCCCGTTGGGGATGGATAAATGGACATATTATCTGTTGTATAATCTAAAAATTTAGCTCTTGCATATCTCTCTATATCGTGAGAATCATAATCACCCCATCGCAATTGAACGTCTATCCAATATTTTTGAGTTGTTGTGTTATCCATAAGATCCTTAGAGTCTGCTAGTAAAGAAGGTCTTGAAACATTCCATTTGTATGCTGAAAAAAGTAGAATGTCAGCACAAGAAGAATTCATTTTATATGATTTTCTTGGATGTATAGTTTCTTTTTGTACAGTCTCAATTTCTAGAGCATCTAATTCTTGATCAAACACTTGACAAAGATCCATGACAATTGACTCATGCACTTTCTGCCACAAGTGAGCACGGAAAATTTGAATGAGGGATATCTTCAATGTTGGTATTTTACCATGCATAAATATTCCCGTGAGATCTAATTGTACTTGGAAACCTACATAAACATTTGCTCTGTTTATAGTGGGTGACCACCATAAAGTAAAACGACGATTCGGAATTTGATTCAAACCCGATCTTTGAGCATTTGTTAATTTTTTATATTTCATTGATTCTTCAAAGCCTGATGCTTTCTCCCAAAAAAGACCTTCCCATGTGGGGAAATAAGTTCCTTTAAAAAGTGTGTGCTCTAAAATACCCTCAACACCACCTAGAGCCTGAATCATATCTGTCCTATAATTATTCAAATTCCATAGTTTCCCATCGTGACGTTGGTGAGTCCACCAAAATGGATTTTGTTTAAGAACTTGATATTGCTTAAATTCCGTACGTATACGCCATCCTTTGTCATAAGCAAGCGTATGTCTATCCTTTTGAAACAAGGTATTTATTCTGGGTATACCCCGATCCCAACTATCTTCTAGATCTTCTAAAGTAAGTCGGCGATTCTGTGTATTTGCCTCCTGTCGCTTCAAGGCATATTCTGCCCAAACACGTTGTGAATCTATAAATTCTGATTCCCAAGGCTGAATATACCTGTATAGATTGGGAATCAATTGATCCTCATCGTGACTCATGCCAGATCTAAAATGCGTAATACCAACGTCAGTTTGTTTGGACCAACGTAAATCTGATTGAGGAATTAATACATGACCCATAGAAAGCATCCCAAGGCCACCCAATTCTTTGGGCGTATAGAATACTACTGGTGGAAATCTTGAAGGCATTTTTGAATTGAGACCAATTTTTATACGTGTCTGAATTTTATTTTCACATTTTACCAATAAATCCAACAGTTCTTGGGTATTGACTACTGCCTCACGGAAATATGTCATTAATCCTATTAAAGCCGTATTCCATTTATTAACAATTTTCGTAAATGTCGTAGAACCAGAAGCCATCAATATTTGTCTGACTCTATTATGAAATCTTTGTAAACTTTCATCGTCTACTCTTAAGAAACATTGAGCAGTTCTTTCTTTTGTAATTTCATTTTGCAAATTCCATACTCCATCTCTATGTGTAAATTCTTCGTGGGTTGTTCTGCATTTTGGTAAAATCCTACATTCAAATCCACTCATGTTGAATAACAGATTTGGATTGTCTTTACTATAAACACTAACAAAACTATTTTCCCATTGTATAGTAGTTGTAGAACGAGGTAATCGATTTTTAATATCCCAAAAAACAGCACGTCCTAAATTAACGTCATGCTTCATTAATCTCATACGTGCATCACGTGGCCAGCATTTTTTGTTATTATATCCAACAATGTTTTCATTATTTGGATCTGGATGTTCTGTCAGATATCTTTGTATCAAATCTCTTGCTTCGTCAGCAGAAAATCGAAGGAATAAATGTATTCTGTCTACATATCTGCAATATAATCTAATTGGATGTGCTGTTTCAGATGCCACATCTTGAAAAGTTAAAAAATCATTTGGCATTTGTGGGGGACCAGCCATTTCACTAGCTCTTTGCAATCCAAGAACCAATAAATCAAGTACAAGTCCATAATATTGAGCAATAAATGATGCAAACTGCATACCCCTAATAATTCCATAACTGTTTATATGATTCATATCTTTGTAATTAATCACAACATTATTCTTTGCGGTCATATAATCAGCAATATTATGATCAACGATTAAACGAAGAAGTCTGTTTAACAAAGTAAGATCGATTTTTTCATAGAGCTTTTCAAATTTGGATTCTAATAATACATTGCATTCTCCTTCACTAACATCCCAAACATCTTGTAAATTGTTGATACCTTGACACCACTTGTAAACTAAAAGGGGTGGAGGTTCTGTGTCAGATGGCTTTACCCATGGTGGAAATAATCTTCGTTTATCTGCTTCATACCATAAATATTGATCTAAGTAAGCATCGGTTATTTTTTCAAGAGGTTCCACGTCATAAACTGGAATCAAATGACTATAAAGATCCATGAATTCTATACCCACTTCTTTAAAGTTTCTTTGGGTTAAAAGATGTCGTTTAATTCTGGATAGAGCTTCGTGTGGATTATCGTATGCTTGTTCGATTAATCCAAGCTCTTCGCGTTGGCTTTGATTCAATCTAGATTTAACGCTATAAGCTTCTTTCAAACGTTCTAACGCCAATATCAACAATTTTGTATCGTGTTTATATGAAAGTGGTGGAAAAGGTATTGGAGCAAATCTTCTAGATTCTAACCAATGTACAGTGGTAGTGTATATAGCTACTGCTTCTTCTGGAGTAATATACGGCCCATCTTTTAGATAATTATGCTGGCGTTCTTGTTCTGCTTTTAAATAAAGTCGAGTAAGGCGACCTAAATTTTTCTTACATACTGTCTTATCCACAGTAGCACCACGTCTGATACGTTCTCGATTATAATGAGCAGTATTAGTCCACCAGTCAGCTTTCATCTTAACATAACGTAATATCATATTTTCTATTGGAATAGGTAATCCAGGGACTTTCCATGGTATATTAGCCTTCCAACATCTCCATGCTTCGCTAAGATGTTGAAGAATCGTACGAGCTTTATTTTGTTTAATACCTTCAGGCATCATGTCTACAATATCATGCATTACAGATGCTCTCAATTCAAGATCGAAATGTGATTCTACTCTTTGTTTGGTTACAGTTTTAGCAACTCCTTTAGAATGACGTCCTTCAAATTGCCTGGATAACAAATTACCCAACCATCTTTCTAACAATGGTGTTATACCTCTCATAAAGAAAAGCCATACTCTCCAGCCAGGTGCCCAAAATCCACAGCCAGGTCCTTTTCCAACTGGACCAGTATTAAATCGATAATATATTAAATGTTTTAAATCTTTGCACATTCTTATTTGTCTCATTAGTTTATACTTATATCGATACATGCCAGTAAGTTGACCAACATGAGCAAAAATATACTGTAATCCATCTGCCAGTTGAAATGCATCGACGTTATTTAAGCGATACTGTACGTGCGAATCAATAATTAATTTTGTCAAACGAAGAATTTCTCTACATAGATGAAAAGCATTCCCAAATCGAGACTTCTTTCTTTCCTTCGTCGTAAGTGTTTTAACAGGTTTTAGATTGAAATTATAATCCAAATGAAGATAATTTAAATTCTTTCTATGTATGAGTAAATTCAACATATTATAGCCTTGCCGACACACTTGCAATCCTGCTTCAACCCAATCTATAGTTGTAGTTTGAAAGAACTTGGTTGATTTGAATGATCGGAATAAGTAACGTTTCTTTTGAGGCTTTGGTGGTCTATGCTTCAGTGCATTTAATACAAAGTATTTAAGTAACTTTTGATAACTAACTCGTACTTTAACAGGTTGTCCTGGAGGACAGTGCTCTCTATACCATGATTTTACCAAAGGAATATCAATTGCTCTCCTTGTTCTTCCAGAACGTGTATTAAATGGTCTTGGTGCCCACAAAAGTGCTATACCATTAGCTGTATTATCTGTATAAAGTGGTGTTTCTTGTAGAAAAGGCTGGACTTCATCATCTAAGACAAAATCTTCATCATCTTCAATTTGTGGTTCCATTGTCTATAAGTAATAATAATTTATATTTACTTTTCTATTATTATAATTTGAATAAAAAATTGTAGATCGATTCATTTATTGATGATTAATTATTATGATTACAATCTTTTAAATCCTAACAATTTACCTTTAATGAATTCCTATGTGAAATTGGATTAATCAAAGGATCAAAATAAAATGCTGGTAAATCTGGATCCTCTGTCTTTATGTATACAACATTTGGTGCATGATACCTATAAATTGTTAAGAAAATTAAAAAAACATAAAATACACATTATTAATTAGAAATATAAAATTAATCTACTATAAAGATAAAATAAAACATATGTTATGTAGGTGGTCTCAGCAGTTCTCTTTTAATTTTTATAAAGAGTACGAATAACAACCATCTTTTTTTTTGCTATACCACACTGCTAGTTAGACTATAATGGACTACTTAGTAAGTCTAAAAACTAGTGTGGAAATATCTTTGTACACACAACTATTATATTATATTAATTATGGTATAACAAGTCTTTCTCATTTACCATGAAAGATGTACAAAATGTGGCATATTATTATATAAATAGGGAAATGCAATACGATATTCCGTCCTAATAGGCTGTCTAATAATAATTTTGTTTATATCATTGAATTCATTCCAGTCTTCATCAGCAGCATTTGAATCTTTTACAAGAGGCTCAAACTTTGGTCCTCCTGGTATTGCCATATTTAATGCTTTTGCAGTAAAGAATGATTTTGGATCAAATAAATAAAAGAAATTTTGATCGACCAAATCAGTTAAGAGTTGATTTGCTAATCGATACAATGTTGCCATTTGAGGAAGAGTCAAATTCCATCTTCTATATGTAGATCCATTAACATGCCTGTAATAATTTTAAATATTAAAAATATATTTATACTATTTAAAAAAAATATTATTTATGCATGATATATATTTATCAGCATAGCGTTTTGTCCAGTGATACATTTTTGCAGTATGTCTCGGACACAACTACAAAAATAATCATCTGTCAACTCACATATATAGTTGATTTCAGGACCCCTACGCGATTCATCATATAATGTTAAACATATAATTTTAAACATAATACTATATTATACAAAACTAGATAGGCTTTTCAATATTTTTCAATATTCAGTATTATAAATTTATATACCTGGTTCCAACCAATGGATTGTGTTCATAGAACCATGCTGCAACAGATTCGTCTTCTTCTGAGTCAAGTTCAATTTGAATAGCTTCTAATGGTTCAACATCTAAAACATTATCAGCATAATCTAATGGAGGTTCCTCATCATCAAATGGTGGAAATCTCATCCTTTTGAAATGTCTACGATCTCTTTTTTCACGTCGCATCATAATCCACATTGTTCTAATTTTCCCAAATGATTAATATAAAATATATATTATTAATATTATGATTTTAAAAAGCATTTATATATATATATGCACTATGTAATAAACATAAAAAAAAAGATTTATATTATTAGAATAACTGACCCCCATTGTGCTATATAAACAGGCTCAATAACCCATGGAATTTCATTAACAAATGTAATAGCTCCAGTTATATGGTATAAAACCTTTACATCTCTTATTTGTTCCCAAGGCATTGGCATATTTTCTAGCAATTTCATTACTGCATGTGGCATATATTTTAATGCACTATAATTAAACAAGTAATGTTCATAAATTAAAATTTTCCAAATACAACTAACATTCTTTAATAAATCTTACCCTAAATATACACGTTTATCATGTCTATATTTACGACTACTCATATCACCATGATCCCTTATAATTTTACGAATATGTTCAGGAGGCATATCTTCCTTTTGAGCATCAACAAATCCAAATTTTCTTTTTTCGGCAAATCGTTTGGACTGTAATTGTTGCCATTTTTGTGCTAAAATTACATATATATATATATATATGTTACTTTTTCGCAGAAATAAAATTTACATATATACTACCTTTTTCTTGTAATTTATCTTCTGATAATACTTCTGGTTGTTTTGGCATTTGAGGAAGTGGTGGGCCAGCTATAGCTTGCATATGAGCATGATGTGCAGCTTGAGCATGTGCCGCTGCTTGTGCATGAGCTTGTGCTACAGCTAGCTGAGCATGAGCTTGTTGTTGGACCATCATGGTAGCCCATGGATTTGGTCCTAGTAAATATGGTGGTATAGACATTATTATATGATGACCTGTAAAAAAAGACATATTGAAAAGTATATACTTTATATTTATTATATATAATAATACCAAATATTTCATTTTTAAATAATAATCCCACATTATGTTCTAATACTAACAATAAGAGAATAACTATATCTATAAACATACTTATATTATTGACTATATCAATAACCATACTTATATTATTTTTTTAAAGTAACCATTTTTATCTCTTACCGAAATTCTTATATTTTCTGAAAATTGATAATTAATAATTGCTAATATATACGATAACAATATAATGTTTTTTTCTTTAAACTTAACATTTCAACTATAATAAAAATGTCACCGAATGTTAGATTAATATACGACTTCACAAAAATATTAATACCGACGCTAAAATTGGAGGCAAGTATTTCTTGGTCCAAGCTTTATAGAACTTCGATGTTATAAGTTTCGAGGAAAGTTTAATACTTTCGTGATAGGAAGCTATGGTCTAGAATTTAACGCCATCTGATTTGAAGTTAGCATCTATTGCAACAAGCAACGCAAAAAGTTCTACGAGATGGCGCCAATAAAACATGTTCCTTTCCAAAAAGAACATAGTTCATTTTCAAAAAGAAAATAGGTTAAAACGTTTTCTTTAATTCTCCAGAATTTTATATTTAAGTTGTTGAATTAATTATGTCAGTTAATAAATGACAATTTTATATTTATTGCACTCATGTAATACAATAAGATAAAACATGAAGTAATAACAAATTTTTATTTAATTAAAATATGACTTATTAAATGACAAGTATTAAATGTTTGTTAATTATTCTTTGATTTTAGGATTAGCGTTGACGGCTTAATTGTTTATTTTCCATACGATTATATATATCCAGAACAATATGCGTATATGCTTGAACTTAAGCGTGGCCTGGATGCAAAAGTATATACATAAGTTCTTATATTTTATTACTTTCACTTTTCTTCTTTATTATAACATATTATATAAATAAATAAATTAGATAAAGAAAATTTCTATTAAAGTGCGTAATTCGATTTTCATTATCTTAGGGTCACTGTCTTTTGGAAATGCCATCGGGAACTGGCAAAACAATAACATTATTGTCTTTAATTGTTGCATATATGCTGGAACATCCTCTAGATGTTACAAAGTTAATATATTGCTCCAGAACTGTACCAGAAATAGAGAAAGTTATAGAAGAATTGAAAAAACTTATTAATTACTATGAAAAAGAATTGAAGAGTAAACCAAAAATAGTAGGATTAGTTCTTAGTTCAAGGAAAAATATGTGTATTCATCCTGAAGTAATTATAAAATAATAATATAAATATCGTGTAATATTGAAGTTGTATTTTAAAAAAGAAGGTTTTTAGCTAATTTTAATATGCAATTAAAGGTAAGCAGGGAACGAGAAGGAAAAGTGGTTGATTCACGATGTCATTCTCTTACTGCATCATATGTTCGTGATAGGCATAATTATGATGAATCTACACCAATTTGTAGTTTCTATGAAGGATTTGATATGGAAGGTAGAAGTCAAATTATACCTTCTGGTATATATTCTCTTGATGATCTAAAAGATTATGGTAAAGATCGTAATTGGTGTCCATACTTTCTTGCACGTTTTATGGTAAATAATTATTTATATAGACATCTTTTTTTTATTATTATTTCTATCAATAAAACTTTTTATAATGTTTGTTTTGTACAGATTTTACAAGCTCAAATTGTAGTATATAGTTATCACTATTTACTTGATCCAAAAATAGCTGAAACTGTTTCTAAAGAATTAAGTAGAAGTTCTGTAGTCGTATTTGATGAGGCCCATAACATTGGTATGTAATATTTATTTTTTAAACATGCATAAGAATTATAACACCGTGTTTAATTTGTCAGATAATGTTTGTATTGATTCGATGAGCGTTAAAATAAATAGAAGACTCATGGAAAAAAGTTCTGCTAATGTTCAGCTTTTAGAAAAAACTGTTGCAGAGTAAGTGACTTATTATTAAACGTTTATTATTGGAGTATATATGATTTTTAATAATTTAGAAGATTTTATTTTTCTATGCATACATTTTAGAATGAGAGAAGATGATGTTAACAAACTAAAAGAAGAATATGAAAGATTAGTTGAAGGATTAAAAGATGCTCAAGTACAAAGAGAAACTGACATTATTTTATCAAATCCTATATTACCTGATGAAGTTCTTCAAGGTAAATTGTCATGTATAATATTTGATTGTTTTTTATCTATAATTTTCTTTTCGTTATATTTTTACAGAAGCTGTTCCTGGGAATATAAGGAACGCAGAACATTTTGTTAATTTCTTGAAGCGATTTATAGAATACTTAAAAACACGTTTACGAGTGCAACATGTTGTACAAGAATCTCCAGCAGCATTTTTGAGAGATATTCAAACAAAAGTTTCTATAGAACGAAAACCTTTACGATTTTGTGCTGAACGTTTAGCATCACTTTTGAGAACTATAGAAATAACAGATCTAACAGATTTCTCCCCGCTTACTTTAATAACACATTTGGCTACATTAGTTTCCACATACACAAAAGGATTTACAATTATAGTAGAACCATTTGATGATAAAACACCTACAGTTTTGAATCCAGTATTACATTTTAGTTGTTTAGATTCATCCATAGCAATGAAGCCAGTATTTGAAAGATTTCAATCAGTAATTATTACCTCTGGAACGTTATCACCTTTGGATATGTACCCAAAAATATTAGATTTTCATCCAGTAATAATGTCTTCATTTACAATGACATTAGCTCGACCATGTCTCCTTCCAATGGTAATAGCTTTAATGATTATATCTTAATATTATTTTATTTTATATTATCATATTTATATTATTTTATTCTTCATAAAATAGATTGTAGCAAAAGGTAATGATCAAGTAGCAATTTCATCAAAATATGAAACAAGAGAGGATGTTGCTGTTATCAGAAATTATGGTCAACTTTTGGTTGAATTTGCTGCTACCGTTCCTGATGGCTTAGTTTGCTTTTTCACTTCATATTTATACATGGAATCTGTTGTAGCTGCTTGGTACGTTTTAGTTTACTTTAAAAAAAAAAAAAAAGGAAAAAAACTATTATATTATCTAATATTTATCAAAATTTTGTTCAAAAACAAATTTTTTATTTAAGGTATGATCAAGGAGTAGTAGATCAACTTCAGAGACATAAATTGCTATTCATTGAAACTCAGGATTCAGCGGAAACTAGTTTAGCTCTTTTGAATTACATAAAAGCTTGTGAAAATGGTCGAGGTGCTATTTTGCTTTCAGTAGCTCGTGGAAAAGTATCAGAAGGTGTTGATTTTGATCATCACTTAGGTAGAGCTGTTTTAATGTTTGGTATACCCTATGTGTATACACAATCAAGAATTTTAAAAGCACGTTTAGAATATTTGCGTGACCAATTCCAAGTAAGTAAATAAGTTTTTAAATTTTCTAATAATTTTTAATTTAAATTGCAATTTTTTTTTAAAGATAAGAGAAAATGATTTCTTGACCTTTGATGCTATGAGACATGCAGCACAGTGTGTTGGACGTGCCATCAGAGGTAAAACTGACTATGGTATTATGGTATTTGCAGATAAGGTAAATTATATAATGTTTATAAATGTTTATGTACATGTAAAACAAATTTATATTTTACTTTATTTATATAAATTATGTGTAGAGGTTTTCCAGGGCTGACAAACGAAGTAAATTACCAAAATGGATACAAGAACATCTGTCAGATGGTTTATGTAATTTATCTACTGAAGAGGCTGTACAAGTAATATGATTGAACCATACATTGCAACTATGATTAACTTTTTCGGTTTTTTATTATTTTACTTATTTTTAGATTAGTAAACGATGGTTAAGACAAATGGCTCAACCATTTACACGTGAAAATCAATTAGGACTGTCACTCCTAACAAGAGAACAATTGGAAAAGGAAGAAACTAGTAAAATCGAACAAAAAGCACAGCAGAATTAAATTTTTTATAAATAATATCCTTAGTAAAAAGATTCCATATGTTTGTGTCATTTGGGATAAATATTTTTATTCGTAACATGTAAAGATATCTATATATAATTTTGTACTGTGATTGTGTTTAATATTAATATAAAATATTATAAATCCATTTGCATCAATTATTTATGATTAAAAAGGAACTATTTTTGCTAAGTTAGTAAGCAATGTTTTCTGTATTTAATTATTTATTATATTCGTGTAATAATTATTAGTAGTTTACTAGTAGTCAAAATTGAAGTCACATTATGGAAGATCAGTAACTTTTTAATAGTGATTATTAGAAGGATTTAAGTAATAATCAAATGTGATTAAAAAAGTTTAATAACAAATTATGGTGAAGAAATTTCTCAACAGTATAGAAAATACAGTCATATGCATAAATAATTAAGTTAATATCACCACCTCACAAGAACTTGATCACCATCTTGAATAGAGTAATAACTGAGTTCTTGCAATGGTTTATCTAATGGAATTTCTTCTTTCGACAGCTGAAACATCATTAATAAAATATATAATAAAATTCGATTTTAACATTAAAAATAATAAAAGTCACACTTACGTCTTGTTGTACAAATGAAAGTGTTGGAATTCTACCACCAGTTTTAAAAAGTCTTTGTGCAAGTCCTATCACTTTTTGAACTTCCATATCTTTAAGAAGTTTTCTTTTAATTCCTTTAAGCTGATGTGGATCATTTGGACATATAAATTCTACCGTTATAACGTTAGAAACCATTTCTGCTTTTGCTTTAGACGATGGAATATCAGATATTCCATATTCTAAGAAATCAAATAAAGTAAAATAGTAATATTGTTTAATAATTCAAAATATTAATTATGTAAAAAATAGATTTTTACATACTATCAACTAAAATTGGATATCGAGGATGTTCATTTATGAACAAATTCCTTTTATCAGGATTATTTTCTGTTTCTATCCATTTTCGCAAGTATAATTTTAAATAATCATACTCGGCACCTCTTCTTTCTTCGTGCGTTATTTCCGTGCCATTTAACAATTTTAAATGTGATATTCTTGCTATTATTAATTGTCTTCCTGTTTCTAAAGTGTAATCCTTTAAAATTGGATTCCCCCTAAATCTAAAATCTTCTAAGTTATTAAGTTTTTCCAGTTCACTCACAGATTGCCACTAGAAACGAATGTTCTCTTATTAGTAAATCAACAAGATCTTCTCTTTCTAACGTGTATTACCTCTGATATGTTATTTTCCGATATATGCAATTGCCGTAAAGCAGAAAAAATATTTGTTTTACCAGTTGATGTAATAGATGGAAACCTTATTCTATCTATTGTATTCGAATTCAAATTAAGGCATTCTAAACTGCAAATTTTATAATATTAAAATAATATATGAATAGACAAAATGATATGCATTTCTTTTTCTTAACATACCATGGAAGTGAACCTAATTTAAGAATTTCTGTCCAACTTGACAGAAAATTCCCTTCAAGCATTATAGTTTGTATTCTCATTGAAGTTGAATATTTTAATGAATCATCTAAAATGCTAATATTGTTAAATGAAGCTGACAGCTCTTCCAATGATGAAAACATATGCACACATTTCTGCACATCAGACCAATTATAATTCATTTTGGTAATAGTCAAACTTTTTACAGATGTGAATGCATATTTTAATGTTTCCATATTTTCTTCAGGTAACAAATAATTTTCACTAAAAATTTTGATTGTTTATTCACATAAAACTAGTTGTATGATACTTTTTGAAATATATAAATTTACCTAACATTAAGCCGTTTAAGAGAATGGAGTTGACTACAGATATTTGCAACAGTTTTCCAGGAACTTATTAAATTTTTAGATAGATCTAATTCTTCCAAATTAGGACATAATTCTTGTAATTCACCAAGGGCACCAGCATCATTGACACACTGTTCTCTTAAGCATATAATTTTTAATTGATCAAATTTACTTTGTTTTTTATTCACTTTTGAGAATCCAACCATTTCTAAGAATGGAGCATTCATTTCTTTTTGCAAAGATGACAAAGTATCTTTATCTACACCAGCCAATTCATCATCGATTAGACCATAACGTTGTTTGATTGCTTGTGCACATGATATACCAAATTTAACTTTACCAGGTCTTACAAATGATCCTGATGTAGTCTGCCTGTTATAGAATACTTATTTAATACAAATAGTATGCTTACAATAAAATCATTAGATTGTAAAAACATACCTAGCTTTAAAATATTCAGCACCTTCATATGTACCATTATGCTTTCCACGTCCAGGATCATCCCAATCTACACCCAACCAAAGGCCTTTAGTGTTGCCAACAGGACCAACATATTTTAATATACCTTGATACCCATCGCATTCTATACGACTTCCAATTTTATAATTTTTATCTTCAACCATACTAAAAGTGAAACAAGTATTTGTATTATATTAAATAAAGAGCATAAATAAGTAAATCATTATATTATGTTTTATTATAAAGCAAGAGAATATTATTACAACTCAAAATTATAAAATTCATGTAACTCATGCTATTACAAAAAAACATTAAAGAAAAAGAAATATATGTATTTTTCTTGTTGTTAAAATCCTAACCTCAAAACTATTAAAAAACATTGGAAGTTATGATATGAATGAAACGATAACTGTATGCTTTCTAAGAAGCTTAAATATCACAAAATATAACTGAAAATATTACTTGAACAAAGTAGAGACGTGAAAGCGCGATAGAGTTATATATCAAAGTATAAAAGTCATAAGAGACAATCTGACATTTCTGTTAAGTGTCAAGTGCGAGTAAATGTGAGTGATATTGAAAAAATTATGTGAATTTATAACAAAAAATTCCTAAATCAGAGAATTGCATTTATTGGCATGTTGTGGCAACAGTGTTGTAAAAAGAAAAGTCAACTACGGATATATATATGCACAATATATTTACTTATATCGAACTTTTTAAAGAGAAACAACAATCAAAGATACTTTTACAACATTATAATTATTAACAATGCTTTACATGATCAATGAAAATTTGAATATACATTTCTTGATAATATAAAAATGTAATTTTTGTATTCATTATTAGTATTAAGGCTATTCACTACCTTTTGTTCGAAACGTATGTGACTCAGCAACAGCTATGAACAAAATATGAACTGCAAATAGAAACGCGAAACACTGTTTTTACCATACGTCTATCATATCGGTGTATAAGCTTGTGTTGGTTATCTCCTTCTTAAAAATTCGAAAAAGGTATGTCCTAGGTTAAAGCTTTGTCTTTAAAATGAGATCTTGTTCATCAAAATCAGTTTTGAATTACGCCTTTTTTAATTGATTGCGTAAATCATTATAAAACCAGGGTAGTGAATAGCCTTAACTGTACTTTTTATTAGTTCCCGCCATTACTTACTAGCTCCACCTATATAGTTTTATTATGATCAACGATTTTGTTGTTGTTGTATCTAACCTCTTTTAGAAAAATTGAAATTTATTTATTTTGATTTAATTAAGTTAAAAAATGGCATCGACTAGAGAAAGACGAGCAAATGCCGGTAATAAAATGGCTAAACTATTAAATGAAGAAGAAGAAGATGATTTTTATAAAACAACTTATGGTGGCTTTGATGAAGTTGAACAAGATCATGATTATATGTTAGTGTGATTAGTTTTCCTATTTAGATATAATATTTCGTAAAGTTTATTATTATTTAATTGATAATTTATAGGGAAGAGGACGAAGGTGAAGATGAAGTAGATTCTGACTTTAGTATAGATGAAAATGATGAACCAGTTTCTGATACAGAACAAGAAGGTCCTAAGAAAAAACGAAGATTGATAACAAAAGCTTATAAAGAACCTAAAATCGTTACAACTCAATCGGCTACACGTTTAAAAGAGAAAAAAATAAGACGCCAAAAACATGATAAAATTCTTCTAGACAGTACTGGTAAACCTATTGCAGTGAATCTTAAAAAAAATTTTTACGATACATTGATGCTTTAAAACATTTATTAACACAATAAATCTTAATAGAAAGAAAATCTATACGTCGTTCAACTGCTGCAAAGTCAGCAGCAACTCAAAAGCGTTTACTAGAAAGAAATGAGGACCAAAAGAAGAAAACAAAAGTAATAAGACATGAAACTTGGAAGCCTACGCAAGAAGAATTACTTGAAGAAGCATTGCAAACAGAGCAAATTAATATGAAATCCTTAGGTATATAAATAGTAAATATAAATTTTATTTATCCATATAGCAATTCTTTTAACTTTTTTAACAGCATGATTTCCTAGGTTTACTTATTTACATATAGACAAATTAATAAAATCTCTCTCTCTCTCTTTCTCTCTCTCTCTCATTTTATATTTAATTACCATTTAAAGAGAAGTACCAAAAATTAGAAAATGAGAAAAAAAACACAAGAGCTGTTAGAAAAGCACACATAGGTCCAATGATCAGATATCATTCAATGTCGATGCCTATAATGGTCATTACTGAACCAATGGAAAAAGAAGATGATAAAATTAATGTAGAAGAAGGAGACGATGACAAAAATGTAATTGCCAGTTCTGATAGAGTTTCTGATGTATCTGGCTTAGGAGATTGGTAAGATTATTTTTTATGTAATATTATATATCAACATATGTAATATGTAAAATTAAAATATGAATTCAGCTATTACAATTAAAAATTGGAAAAAATAGAATTATTAATCTAATTTTAGAATATTTACTGAAACTACATTTACGTAAGGTGCTTTATTTTATTCAGCACAGTGACTGATTGTGATATAGAATTTAACTCGAAAAATAAATTGGATAATATTAGAAAAAACAATATAAATCTTCAGTGTGAAGTAACAGGAACATTTTACGAACGAACGTTTATTACATTTGAAAATGAACAATTATTATTAGAAACATTTAAAAAAACTGCCCCACAAAAGCCAGCAACAAAAGCTTTATGTGCTATAACAAGGTAAAAATAAAATATATTTATTCTTACAAAAAGCTATCATATATATAAAAATACAAATGTTTATATTGTTATTAAAATTGATTTTATCCTTAAAGGCTTCCTGCAAAATACTTAGATCCTATGACACAGTTGCCATATAAAAATGTACAAACATTACGCCTACTTCGTGAAGCGTACTATCGTCAGTTAGAAGCCCGTAGCGATGTCAATGATAGTTCGCTAAGTCCAGAATTATTACGATGGCTCGAATGGAGACAAAAAAATTGTGGTACAAATTATAGAAGCACTATACGCCTTGAACCAGCAAGTATTTCTACAACTTCATAATATATTTAATTATTTAATAAATAGTAGATAATAGGGAAAAAATTAATATTATCACTTTTGTAGTTAATTGTTAATTCAGATACTCTCGTTACAAAATTGCTTGATTTTTAAATATAATATCATTAGATTACACAGTTGTTAATTAAAATAAGTTGTTTAAATATTAGGAATAAGTTATACATAGTTAAATTTCTTTACAAAAATTTATTTATTTTAGTTATCTGATTTTATACTTAAAAAAAAAAAAAAAAAAAAGGAAATGATTTAACATTATATATACATTTAATTCGACACATGTAATATATATTTTTATAACATTATAGCTTTAACCATAAAATAAAAATTGGATATATTTATTATTCTGTTTTTATCATACATAATAAAATTACCCATGTTATACAATATTATAAATATTCTAAAACTTATGTTATATAAAAATGAGATTAAATTGTAATTGTTTTCTGGATATTTTATAAACAAAACAAATTCATATAGAAATAATTATATAATTTAAAAAATTTAATAATTAACTCGATAATAATGTTTTTTTACTAAAATATACTTAGAATAAATATAATCGTACTGGACATTGCTGTCATATAAATTATATTTACATATTTAAGAAATCTTATCATGTAGATGAAATGGCATTTTTTATCTTCTCCTCTAATCTTTGATTTTCTAATTGCTGTTCTTTTAAACGATTTTCTAGAAGTTGGGATGAACGATGTACTTCTATAATTTTATTTTTAGTATAATCACAAAATTCAGCTAATGGATCAAATTCATTTATTAAATCATCTTCAAAAGTATTATCACTGCAATCCTTTAATTTTCGTTTTTTTTGAATCGGTTCTGTAATTATATTGTCTCTCTTAATAGAATATGTATCATCTCGATTTATTTTTGAAGTAAATTCTGCAAATGCATTAGATCTAAACCACCATGGTAATGTTTTAAAATACTTTATATAATTTTTATTATAAACGACCTTTAAATCCGTTTCAATAAAACTTATTTTTTCTTTGACAATGTGGATTAATATATCTGCAAAATTCGTTACTTTTAAGCTACCTGTCATAAAATATAAATGACTTAAAATATCACAGGAAAAGGTATGACTATTTATATCTGGTAATACTATTTGACAATAATGAATTATATTTTGATGTAATTGGTGTGCATCTGTTACTGGCCATGAAAAGCTATAAAAGAACAAAATAAATATTTATTATATTTTTAAAAACAATCTAAATATATAAGTTTTTTTTTAATTACCTCCAATGTGGTAGCATCAATCCATTTATAATATTTTCTAAATTTACTCTATACTCTACTGTTCTCCATACATCATCAAAATATTCATAACTACATGGTAATATGTGCTGATTTCCTACAAATTTTTTTAATTCTGGTGAAAATTTTGTATACATTAGAGATTCTGAATCTAATAAAATATGGATCAAATGTGTTACTGCTTCATTATGTAGATCTATTAGAAAATTGGGCTCTTTCATAGATTCAGAAAGATTTGCATTACAAACTGAATCTTCTAAAACTCTGTAACAATATAAATTATTTCTACAAATTGAATGGATTATAATATAGATAAAACATATGCAATAAAATGTAATATTACTTACCTTTGCCAGAATTCTTCTGTTATACAAATATCACACAGACTTTGTAAAGAATCCATTTCTAATGGATTTCTAGGAGGCTTATTGATAGCCAACCACAAAATCGTGCTTTGAATCAAATTTAGAATAATTGTTTCATTTAATGTTTTCTCAACAGTGATAGTATATTTAGATATATATCCTGACTGTAATAGATTATCTAAATCCGTTGCAATTTTTTCTTTTTCAATTTCCAATTCTCCATTTCCCAAGATAATAAATACTAAAGGTATTGCTATGAGTTTCTCTCTAGATAATACAGTTTTTGTTAATCGTTTGTTAACAGAAATAACATTTTCTGAAGCAGCGGCAATAAAAATAAAACCATCTGTTCCAAATAAATTGTGTTCTGCAATAAAGCCTTCAAAATACCTTATACAAGTATGAAAATTTTCATATGGGTTTGGTTGATATGATTTTATTATTGGTTCTACTGTATAATCCTCAGGGCATAAATATCGATTTATTATTTTTTTATATTGCCATAAATCAATTTTATTTTCTAAATGCGGCCATGATATTACAACTTTCCAAAATAAATTTGTTGTAATGTGCATATTTAATAATTTGAGGTTTTCTTTAATACCTGCATAAATGATTATCTCAATAGGAGCTAAATTATTGATAGAAGATTTTGGTACTTCTATTGTGCACTGCCTTTTGCACATATTTTCTATAACTAATTTTTGCCCATCGCGATATAAAATTTGAGCACATTCATCTATAGATTGTTTTTGCAACCAAATAGGTGTGTTATCTAATGCTTTTCTCTGCTGATTTTTTTTAAATGTCCATGTTTTCCATATATGTAAATATTTATTGATCTTTCGTTCATTTCTCTTTTTTGTGAACTCCTCTACCTTTTGAAAACTTGTTATTTCTTCAGATAATATTGCATCACACATTTCATCAAGAAAACAAGTTAACATATTATCACTTAATGAATTATACATTATTGATCTATTTATTTCTTCTTGTAGGATAGTAGAACATAGTTCTTCTAGCACTTCTTCTATCAGGTCTTCAAAAATTTCCTCTGTATCTTTATTAATTTGTTGCATTTTTTGTTCCATTTGTTTAGTGCCTACGATTTCTGGCTGCTTTTTAATTGATAATTTATTTTGCGATTGCGTATTTTTATTTATTGGTGCTGTTTGTTTAGGTGGAACAAACTTTGTACTTTGATGTGAAGTAAAAATTACATTTGAGACATTATTGTCAAATATTCTGCATGGTACAGTAGATTTTGTAAATATATTTCTTTTTACATTATCAGAAAATATGCTCTTATTTGCAGCCATTAGAAATGGTGAAGATATATCAAAAGTTTTTGTAGGCTTAGTCTGATGTAAAAGATTAAAACTCGATTGTGGAATTGATGCATTATTGCTTGTATTATTAGAAACACTATTGTTATCTTTAAGTTTTTTTGATACAGTATCATAACATGCTTTATCAAAAATTAAGGGTGTACTAAGATAATCTTCTTGTATCTGAGTATCTGATGGTAAATTTGTCTCTATCCTCTCTCTATTTTCAGATGTAATCTGTTCAGATTTTGATTTAATTATATTATGTTCTGATTGAGATACAGAAGCAGTGATAGTTTCAGATTTATTCAAATCAGTATCATCAATTTTAGTTAATTTTTGAAAATTATCATAATATTTAGTAGTTGTCGGTGTATCTGAAGGAAAGGCACTCTGATTTTTTTCGTTTAATAAAATTTCTTTATCTGAAGGCTTTGATTCCTTTTCTATAATTTCATTTGAAGTTAACTTGCCTATGCTTTTATTGATACTTGAATTCTGATCTTCTGCATTTATAGATTGAGCCATTAAATAACCTTCAGAATCAAAACTACTGTGAGGCTTATGATTCTTGTAAGATTTTTCAGGCATTTTTCCACCAGCAATGCATTCACTAATCGACAATCCTTTTGTAGTTCTTTTTGACTCTATCATGTAAAGAGCTCTACCTTGTTGTATATTTGACATTGATAAACAAAAATTTTGTCTATTTAACATTACATATAATTCATCACTTGATACATTGATTCCTACTTGTTCACAAAAATATATGGTCTCATTTTCATTTTCAAAACCAAGATTATGAAGTAATTCATATAATGGATAAGCTGTAGATGTAGTTCTACAATAAGCCTTGACCATTATAGATAAAGCTTTCACTCTAACTTGATTAAAATATCTAAGCAAAATACAGGCATTTAAGTAAGTTGTTTGCCGCACTAGCTTGAAAAATTTGTAATAGTTATTAGACTCAAGGGTAGAATAAATATTTATTGCAAATTGTACTTCTGGCGACTTCTGTATAGAAGTTGGAAGTTGTTGTAAGTCTGACATAAAATTACCATTATTTAAATTTAAGAGAATAATATATCCTCGAAATTCTGGTTCATTCTGACATGTTATACCTTTTACTCTCAAATCATGATACATATACTTTAAAGACTGTAAACATTTTGTTAAGTTTTCTGAATTAATTTTTTTATCAAACACTGATAATTCTTCTGCACAAAGTCTTTCTGAGCATACTATATGAAATCTAGCGCATTGTTCAACTAATTCTACGCTATCAATACAACAAAGTTCTTGTTGAGTTATATCTTTTCTTATTCCTCTTGTTCTATCCCATAGAAAGTGATACCATTCTCCTAGATTGGTTCCTTCTTCTTCACAAAGATTTACAATTTCATGAAGTAAATAACTCATTGTCATTTTTAAGGATTTTACTGGTCTTAACTCATGAGCCATTGGTTCCTCCTGATCTGCAGAAGATCTGGAGTATTGTTTAACAGCAATCATATGATTTATTCTATATTCATTTCCTTCAAGTTGTTCATATGAAGCTACTTGTCTTTGTGATTCACGCATCAAACGTTCTTTTTCTGGACACATATCTGGACAAGTTCCACTTGTAATTTTAGCAGTTGCCAATGAATGTGATTTTACTTGTTTAAGTCTCATCAGACGATCCCTTGCCTCTAAAATTTTATATTTATCTTCTGAAGTAATACCAATTTGATGTATTATAATTTGTAATTCCTCCACAGATGCACCATGTAACGATGTCATTATTTGACTATCATTTTCAACTTTGTCTGCTTTTGCTGCTACCTTTTCAATTTTGGGCAATATCTTCTCAGATTTTTTTACATTTGACCCTTTGCCTCTTTTTCCAATAGCTGGTACTCTATATACATCACCACTTTTATAATCAGGTAAATTATATTCCAAATTTGTCATGGCTTCTAATTCTGTTCTAATTTCATCGTCTAATTTAAGAAAATTTGTAACTATATTTTTCTTTAATTCTTTCTTCTTAGTAGGAGACTTTGGTACCTTCTCTGACTTTGTCCATTCGACATGAAATTTTTTACCTAAATATTCTCCACATTTTTGATAGGCATTATTTGCTTCTTCCTTAGATGCATAAAAAATTATTATTATTTGCTTCTTTGGTTTAATAGTAATTTTCATTATTTGACCGTAAGTATGAAAATATTCTTTTGCTAACGACTTCATAAGTAATTCCTTTGGAACATTTGTACATGTTATTGAATTATCCAAATTAAATTTTATTATATGCGATCTAGAATTTTTAGTTAATTGCTCAAAAGCTGAACTATCTTTCAAAGCATGAGCAAACACATTAACCGATGGTTCAAATGCATTTCTAGATATTTTAGGCTTGTATTTTTTTTCAGTTTCATTACTTTGTGCTTTGGTATAACTAGTCAATTGTGAGATTGCTTCAGGTGCTGCAAAACAAAATGTTTGTTTACTTGAGCTTGGAGAAATTAAATTATTTGAAAAATCGTTATTGAATGTTTTGGAAGGATTAAAGACAACATTTGGTCTAGAGAATGTAAATCCTTTTGAAGTCGTATTTTCTGTAATGTTCGTATCCATTTCTTCTTTGTCATACATTTTTCTTCTACAAACACATAAAATATAATTATTTTAATATTAATATTAATAATAATACTATCTATATTATTATCTGTTAGAACATTTTATAATAACGTAATATTTGTTTCACCTTTTATTCACTTTGAATAACCAAAAATGTTACATTTCTTTGAGATTTTTGTTCTTCATAAAAAAAGGAAATCGTCCTACACTACCGTATTATTTCAAATTACTAAAAATTCGAACCTTATTTATTCTATTTATAACTTTAGCAGTCGATATTGAAATTATTTGACTAAATCTATAGCCAAATTCATACCGCCATGCGTAGTAAACATATTATGTGTGTGTACGTGTACGTATACTGTTTGTATATGTACATATATATATGAATATAAAATTTCTTGAAAATAACCAATCATCTTCCATATAAATGTTATATCCAATGAACGTTAAGTATTACGATACTTGTGAAATTGTGTAAGATCCCATGTTGTCATGTCATTATTGTATTATTAGTAAACTACATTCAAATAACTAACGTCAGATAAAAAAAAAAAAACAAAAAAACCACAATGATTAAGTTAACAAAAATATTTAATTTAGAAGATTTCACATTAATAGTGCCGTCAGTGGCAGTTGGTAATGTCGCTCAATTAACTGTCGATCTGTTAATTGCGAGTCTTAACCTTCAAAGAATTGGGCAAATTGTAACTACTTCTTTTATACCCATAGTTGGGTTGGATCCTTATATAGAAACATCTGAATTCTTAAGCACTGCAGTTGATATATATGCAGGAATTGAAAATAAAATACTTGTTATACAAATTCGTTCACCATTTGTCAAATCATTAAATAAATTTTATCACAATTTATTGGAATTTATTACAACAAATAAAATATCTAAGGTATACTTTTATACATATTAGAAACATACAAATAACATAAGACTTTAATTTTATTTTATTCCAGGTAGTAATCCTGACGAGTAGTTATGCTTATGAGAAAACAGATAGTCAATTAAATCTTACAGAATTGAGATACATTGCATCTGCCGATGTATTAACTGATAACAAACAAGTTTTTGATGATTTAAAATGGCTTCAATATGAATCAAAGCATATATCTTGTCCAAACGACAAACAAATAATACACATTCCAGGAGGAGGCTTCGCAATCAATTTATTTGATTTTCTTACAAATAATAATATATCATGTATAATTTTATTTAAATTTTGTTCTGAAGGAGATAATATTCCAGATGCATTAAATTTAATGAACTACCTAAATCAATGGATGAATTTATTACAAATTAATTCTGTTGGATCTTTAGCTATCAAGTATCCACCATCATGGAAATATTTATTTGGAAATGTACCATCATCTGAGATATATTAAATAAAGTACAATATGTTATGAAATTATTTAAAAAAAAAAATGTTTATTTCTGTTAACGATATCTTTTATATATCATTGCATAATAAAAAAATTATACGGATATACAAGATACAACTAATAAAACAGTACAATTTTTTCAATTTTAAAAATTTATTTAAATTGCGCAAAATTTATTTGCATTTAATTATATTTAAACTGATTAAAATTCATACCTATTTTCAAAATACAGAAGTAGCAAACGCATTCAAATATTTATGGCTTATAAAATTTCAATTTAATGATAACATATACAGAAATCAGACTTTTTAATAAATTATACTTTTACTATGCAAGAAGTTTAAATTTAGCTGAGAATGCAGCATATGAAACGAGAGCAGCTAAAAATGCTGCCAAAAATTCAGAATTGATCCATGGTCCAAGATAAATACCTGGATTATTGAGTACAACTACAGCTAATGGTTTTACTATATTAGGATCTTCTCCATTTCTATAAGCTTTACGAATGGCAGCATATTTTTCTTCATCATAAAGCTTAACGCTGTAATCTCCCGATCGTGCATTTTTGATTTCTTCTGTCCATGAAACCTAAAACAGATAAAATAAGCGTTTAAAAAAGAAATATAAATTATAACAACATAAAAATCATTTATATTTATTATTTTACCTGATATTTGTTATCTGCACTTAATCTCACTGCAGGTAAAGCTTTTCCTTCAACTTCTGCATACAATGGAATTCCTTTCACACCATTGCTGCATTTCAATACAAATTGTGTCGTAAAAGCAACATTAGTGAGAACCGTAGCATCTTCTGTTACATATGCCGATGCTACAACTTCTGGTTTTTGACATGTTTCTGCGGATATGGTTAAAATTACAGCAGATAGTGTACATACAAAAACAGACCAATTCATATTTATTAAATTACTTTATGAAATAATTAAATTAATGGAATTCCTATTAAAATCTAACAGTATATTGTTATATTATATCCGGTATAATGTAGTAAACGACAGTGTACACAACCCTTCAAACACGTTTCTTATTCTATTCTGGTTTTATCCCATCATAACGTAATTCAAAAACAGTACTTGATTGCAGACGTGGTTATGACGTGTCTTTTACCTATAAATATCTATGATAGAGATGGTACACAAGATATAAATTCATAAAATAATTATGCCATCTATTGAGAGAATTACATAATCATTTTTTTTTTTTTTGAAAGTAAAATCAATTACCAATGATTTCATTTATAAACAATACATATAGGATAATAATATATCAGTTGTCGATAACATTTATTAATATTTTATGAAAGAAATATATATTAAATCCATTTTCATAAAATCCAATATATTGATTGGTTATATATTTTTCTTTACAACGAACTTCATTGTATAACCGATGATTACGTTATAAATGATTCTATTACTCCTTTATGTGATTGTTCATGAGAAAAGGTATTTATATGTCGTCTTTCAAGAATTAGAACAAGCTAGATGATCGAAATTTTTCAATCATCAATAAAAATAAATAGAGAGATAAAAGATTGTGATTGAAGCATAACTACATGAAAAATTTATGCTATTGCGAGACGCACTCTAGTACAGCTATTCAACTCTTTCTCATGTTGATTTTTAATACCTTATATGATTTTTATGCTAATAGTTAAAATTATCAAAATGAAGTGAACTTACAATTCCAAGAGCATCCATACATGGGTATACATATCTATATATATTAAAGATGATAATAATAATAAAATATGATTTTTAACATTCTATACATTTTATATCCATTATGAAGTTAATGGTGAAAATAATTTATCTTAATCAACAGGTTGCATTACAATTACTATGATATTTTTAATACAAATATTACAATAATATATTATATAAAAATTCTGCTTATTATTTTTCAATATTCTGTAAGGAATAAATTTAGAACTTCGTATAAATTAAATAATTTCATTTATATTTTAGATGGAGTAGTTATTACTTTTGGTAATATAAGAATGTACTAGATATATACGACTGAATAATAAAAATTGTAATCGCTACTATTTTGTATAATTTGGCAATAATATGGGTAAGTAAATATAGTTTTAGTTTTATTAAGAAATTAGATTTTAATATAACACACTTTGATTGTTATTTTATTTTTAAGACAAATTAGTACATTTATTTTTAAGACAAATTATAAACATTTGTTTTGTAATAGTGATGGCAGGAAATGAAGGTGCGCCAGGATCTTTGGCAGAAGATTCGTTATCTGCAAGATTACAATGGCTTCGTCAACGGCGTGAAGCACTGCAAGAAAAACTAGCTCTGAAAAATACTGAATTAAAGAATCTTTGTATAGAAGAGGCAGAATTAACAGGAGTTTTGCCACCAGAGATACCACTGGAGCCTGGAGAAAGTCCACCTACTTTTCGTAAAAAAGTTGGCACAGCATTTACTTATCCTCAGAATTTAATCAACAAATTAAAATCTAATGAAGCTGTAAGATTATTATATTTCATGTTCTATATACACATTAGAAAAGAGAAACATAATTTTATTATTGTAAGCAGGAAGAATCTGCTCTAGAATTAGAGCGACAGGTTCAAATTGGTATAGTGGAAGCTGCCTTAGGAATTGTTAATGATCCTGCAGAAAGCAAAGCTGTACGTCGAAAGCATAGATTGGTTTATCAGCAAGGTCAAAGAAGACTACAAGAATTGGAAGCACGTTTAAATTCTATACGTCAATCTCGTAATAAAACACATCGTACAGGACAATATCAACATACAATGACATGTAATACTCAATCACATTTGCAGAGCAATGTCAAGCATAGAACAAAAAAACCACGACCACCTCTTGATAGCACAGGTATTATATATAATTATTTTATTTATAATGAAGAAAGTGTAACATTAATATTATTAACATTTTTGTCAAACTACTGTTCATTATAACTACAGGAAATGAAAGTTGTTTGGTCTCTACAAGAGCCATTACTCAAGAAGAAAATGTTAATCTAAATTTAATAGGAACAGAACAAAAATATCCTGGATATGAGGAACATCTTCCGTTCACGAATGTTTATCATCATAGTCATGATACTGGTTTTTCTTCTACAAGTCCTATTGACCAACGACAAAATATTAAAGCATCAGAGAATGATTTTAATGAGAATCATAATATTTACATTTTACCTGATCAATATCGTACTCGTACGTATTCTCATGGTAGTGGTGGTACGCGCAATCAGAATCATTATCAGGATAATAACCGAGTATATCGTACTGTACCGAACACGTATAGTGAAGAAGAACGTCAAATAAGATATCGTCAATTTCAACAACAACAACAAAAACAACACGAATTACAAGAAGATTTTTATAATCATCAACAATACGCAGAATATAAACAATTTGATAGCGAAGTTCAACGAAAATCGAATCAATTGTATTATGATAGAGAATTTCGTTCATCTCATCATGTGCATACACCAGAGTATCAAATACATTATAAAAATCAATCACAGCCATGGCAAAGAAAAGATCGTGATATGTCTACTAATAGAAATTTGAGATCTATGGGACCACCTGTTGATTCACATATGCCTCCAGGATGTTGGATGCGTTATGACGAAGAAATAATTTGGTGTCCTGATGAACAACTTGTCTCCGATAGATTTGGCAGCCTTGATCGTAGAAAACGAAATGGAGTGCAACATGTAGGAAATATTAACGCTGATACACAATCCCGATATCGAACAGTGACGATTGGAGGATCTAAAAATTCTGTACCTGTTGTTTCCTATCCACAACCTACTATTCATTTATTACCTTTATCGGAACAAACGCAAGTCAACAATAAAATTCTTTTACGTACTCAATCCTTAGGAAGCGTAGAAACATGGCACTCCAATCGATCGCAGGAATCACAAGATGATAAGGATACTACTGATAATGTCAGTCGTAAGGGAAAAGAAAAAGAATGGTATGAAACGTCTTTAGATTCAGGTACAAGTCCTGCATTAGAGCCAGGCTTATTAATTACGCATAAAGCTATGCATTGTCAATCAAGCTCACCTGTATCATGTGTAAAGGATATTGGTGTAATTAATATTGTTAATGACACTGCAAAAAATATTCATTCAAATTTGCAAGGACGTTGTAAGTTAGATACATCTATTCAACCGCAAAGTCATTTACAGCCGATTCCTATTCGTTACGAGCATCGGCGGCCTAAAGTACTTGAAATTCCTGCAGAATCAAGAAAAATTCAAGAAAATAATGATGAGGCAATTCTTATAAGATCTCCTCATAATTGTACAATAGTGCAGGCTGGAAAATATCAACCTTATAGAGAAGTTACTAAACCTTTTGAAATGTCCGACTTTTATAAATATTCAACTAAATTTCGGAAACGAAATGAAATCTCTGGGCAAACTTCATCAAATGAGAATTGCTTAGATTCCTATGTTGGAGATCTTGCTGTTTCTACTGATATACAAAAAGAATCTAACTCTTCTAATTATGTACACAATGGTAATCTCACTAGTCCAGTACAAAAAAAGATTTACCAACCTGTTGAACGTATGACCTGTCAGCCCTATTTAACGAGTTTGAGATAGCTTTATTATAGAATATTGAAAAGTATTGAGAGAGAAAGAGAGAGGGGGGAGAAAGAGAGAGGGGGAAGAAAGAGAGAGGGAAGAGAGAGAGAGAGAGAGAGAGAGAGAGGGAGAGAGAGAGAGAGAGACAGAGAGAGAGAGGAAAATATGGTGCATCCATATTTTCTTATTATAATTATGTGTACATAATATTGCAATTTACAACTCAATTAGAAGGCAAGCAGAATTTGCTTAAATAGCAATTTTATAATACGATTTTTTCACTATACAATGTTTCATTTAAAGATATAATAATTATTGCCTTTAAAATAAGTGCAATTATATCTTATAATATATATATTATAATATATATATATATATATATATATATATATATATATATATATATATATATATACTATAATATATATAATATATATTATATATTATAATATACTTTTATAGTATATACACACACATACACAGTATAGTAATATGCAAAAGAAAGAGATATTATAAATTTATATTGAAATTAGAACGTACAAAAAATTTTGTATTGAAAAAAGTGATAAATTTGTTAATTTATAATCTATATAACATATAATGACCTGAATATAGTGCCTTATTATCTTTTTAATATACATATTTACGCACAAAACATATGTTGTTATTAGTTTTTGGTACTTAAAGCTATTAATTAGAAAATTCCTTTATTAAAAAAAAAAAGAAAAAAAAATAAAATAAAATGAAAAAAAAAGAAAAAAGAAAAAAAACGTTTTAAACTATTTCTATTCGTATTACAAGTATTATTGTAATTCAACTGAGAAATATATGTAAATATATTGATAATAAAAATCTCTGTAAAAATTTATCATGTTATATACATTATAATAATATTGATAACAAATAGCATACACAAGAAATTGTTATTAAGGCGTTTAAATTTTTATTTGTATCACACAAATCGTAATAAAATGGTACTGAAATCAAATAAATATATACAAAATATTAATACATAATACTATAGTAATTTTTAATCAAACTCTTAAGTACCTACATTTATAAATCTAAGAGCCAAACACTCTAGGAAGGCTATATATCAAATATAATAATTTATCTTTTTTTTTCTTTTTTCATATTTATGTACCTAAGTGAATATAACGTTCACACATAAATAATTCATATAACATTAATCCTTTGCGATCGTACTCTCAGCCAGCAAAGCTTTTTTATCGTTCCAATCGTACATCTGATCTCAATCACTACCGCAAAAAAACCGTATTAGAATATATTCCATATGAAACTAATTACCTCAAAAAATGCGTTTACCGTCATATTGCTGCATTCTAAATGCCAAAAACGTAAATACGAGAATTTTCGTATCTTGATGCATACATGCGCAACCTTAGATATTTACAGTACTTTCTCCTAAGGGTATGTTGACACATGTGCGCAACCTCAGTTATTTACAGTACTTTCTTTCTCTTAAGGGCCATATATCACTATTGGGAATATCTTTCCTTGAGAATTCGTTGAATAATCGCTAAAAAAAATATATAGATAAAAACCCATTGCTACCTTTGTCCGAGCTTAGGCATTGTTAGTAAAAGACTTAGTCTTCGACAATGTGTCGAGCCGGGCAATAAACAAACAGTAAAAGTAGGTGCGACAAGACAAGGGTTTGTCGGACGTCTACCCTTAAAAGATCAAAGCAACAATCATGGGCCGGCAAGGTCATCAGGACAAAGGATCACACATCAGACTGTTTAAAAGTTTCGAATGAATTCTATACTGACACGCCCACAATTAATAAGAATATTACTTTCCCTTCCCAGACATTATATCTATATTTATTAAAGCCCATCAACTTTACGAGCTTCACGGGATTCTTCAAAAGAATTCGCGTTCTCTCATTAATTTGCGGGAACGCGGTGAGCGGTATTTTATTGACTCTATCAAATATTATATAGTTATGAGAATAAAATGATTACTGATTTCTTTAAACGTTTTTTATAATATTCATTTTTATATATTCATAAATATAATCAACTATTACATTTAATATTGCTAAATAGTATAAAAATTTATCAAATATGAATATTATAAAATATAATAAAACATCGAAAATTATCTCAAAATTATTAATTTTAGAATACAATTAGTAATTATATACTTGAAAAAAAAAAGAGGAAACATAGATTTAAAAGACAAGATATAAATAACGCGATGTCTATGCACAGATTCACTATATTTATTTCATTTTTCTACTTTTAATAACAAAAATATATATATTATTGTGTGAGAAATAAAATTAAAGCCAATTATGACTTACTCTTATCATCGAACTTGTCTAAATATACAAATTAATGACAACTAACAAGAGTTATCAATATCAGAGATGACTAAGAAATCATCTTAATGTCTTCACAGGGTCTTATTAATTAAGCTCACAATATTGTAAATACTTAAAATCTTTAATACTTAGGGCACCCTATATAGCGGTGATAGAAAACTAAAAAACGATTTGTATTTATTTATTACAGAATAAATTGTGTTTTTCTTATAATTGTGATATAAACGTTCTATAATCAGTAATAATTTTAATTAATTAACAAGGGCATATATAGCTGACAGTGAAAGAGTGGGAATCATTAATATTAAAGGTGTTTACTACATGTATTGTGTGGCACACTTTTTAAAAAATATTACTATATATAACATAGAAGAAATTCGTATCTAATCTTATTATATAAAGATAATATAAAGTAATTTTAACTTACATTAAATATTTAAATGTAGAGAGAGAGAGAGAGTTCTCTCTTTAAAATTTTTAGAATTTTATTCTTAAAGATATGCGTTGCCAATAATTTATTCATTTAATAATCCTCTTACATGAATTTTAATACTATTATTATTATTATTATTTAAATGCTCTCATAAAAAAAGTAATTTTAAGCATGATTATTTTTCATAATTATTTTGAAAATCAAAGCATAATAAATAAATATAAAAAATATAATTGCCTGTTTAAAACGGTTACAAAAGAGATCTTCATAGTATAATTTATAAAAAAAGCCATTGATATTAAGAATGTTATTTATCTCCCCTTCCTCATTCTCAAAATGTAAAATAATACAAAGCAACTATGATAGATATCATATAGTACATATGTTCATCTTTCAGGGTATAATATTGGTCAACATATATGTACCACAAAATATATCTTAAACACAATTAAACCATTATGCTCCAAATGTAAGGATTACTGAATGTAAATTATATTGTACTAAGTACAGATAGAAAAAACATGAAAAACATTTTTAAGGTTTGACAAATACTTAATTAGTTTACAAAATAATATCATGTAAGTGAGATAATTAGTATGAAAGTTAATTTGGAATATAAATATGTAATAAAACAAAAAATATAACAAATAACTCTAACAGGTACATATACATCGATTGTAGATGTTATCAGTACTAAATTTTTAATAAAGTCGCTCACAAGTAATTTTGTAAAAAAAATTTCATGATTTAACGTTATATTTTGACTTACATTAATATATATAATCTGACTATACTTTTGCATAAAATAATAACGAATACATAATAAAATCATAGACCTTTATTAGGATAAAAAATAATAGACGTAGCCACTTTATTAAAATATTACGATATGGAATTATTATATAATTAGAAACATGCTGTTTTAAAAAAATAATATTGAAAAGACAATGTTTAAAAGTATATATGAAACATCCTATGAGAATATTAGATCATAACAATGAATGAAAACAGTTTGATTAGATACTTAAAAAAATATTACAAATCTTTGTAAACTGAAAGCAATTATCAATATATTTCCATTATTGTTAATTTATGTAACTTTAATGGAGCTTTTTGCGCATTGCTACAATTATTCGTGTAGGATAATAGATAAATTTTTTGTTGCATGACGTAGACGTTATTAGGGACGTGCCGCTATTATATATAATATTTTTATAAAAACGTAATATATATAGATATCATTGGAATGCGGGCTATAAAATCAATTAATTTCGTTATAATTTAAAGCCCGCTAAATGTAACAGTTCTTCATTGTTTGTCCACTAGCTTATAATTTTTGTGAAAGCCATGTTCAACCACTAATTTATTACTCACAAATAGTGCCAAAGTCTTTTTGTATCTCGTTCACTAATCTGTTTCACTTCATTCACACATCCTCACATATATATATATTTATATGAGCGTACGCATTTATATGAATAGTCTATCAGTATCAATTGTAGAGAATAACACTATACAATTTTAATAATTTAAAGAAATTTTTAAAGATTCGCAGAGCCATAATATAAGAGGTAGGCGACAATGTATAACTGCAACTTTTAAAGTGAGTAGTTGACAATCTAGTATACCTATCAGATCTTCATTTGCTCTATATTTGATATAGTATACTGTTTTATTCTCCATAAATATGTATATAAATATTAATATTAACAAATAATTTCTCATGGATAAAAATATATTACAATAGTTTATTCAGAATAAATTACATTAACAATTTTTTTTCAAGCATAACAAAACATCAAATTATAAAACGAAATTGTAAAAAATATATACATTATATGAAAAATATAAAATATTTAATGCTCTCATTTATTATAATTTTATTGGTTTTATGGAAACCATAACATGGGGAAAAAAAGTTGATCGTTATCAAAAAAAGGAAAATAATTATAAAGTCCACAAAGTTTGTATATTTTATGGAGAATAATACGATTCAACATTGAGTATGGATTAGAGCAAGATGGACTAAAATATTTTATATTGGAGGTTTATCATAATTTCAATTAAACAAACTCTAGCAATTATCACTTTTAATGTTACATTAATCTTGGCTCTCTTGATGCAACAAAAATTATGTTTCTATATCAGAATAAACACATAAGAGTTTATAATTTCTATACAATATTAATATAAATTAAACACATTAATGCGCATTTAGAATACTTTAAACCTTTCAGCGCTATGGACTTTATATTATTTCGAACCCGTATATGCGTTCAAATATGAATGTATCTGAATATACTATAAACACGTATGCGTTTTGTAATTATTTATATATCTAATTGTCATTTTTATGTAGAAGTAATCTGGCCACATTATCGATAAACTTTAAATAAATATTTTTATTGAATATTTTGCAATATACAATAGTGTGTGAAATAATATAGCGTACGATTCCGACAGAGCACACACATAAAACGTAAAAAAGTATTCAGTCCAGTGTGTTTTATCACAGTAAGTGGACAACGCACTATATGTGCGTGTCATTAAAAATTTCAGCGCTGAAAGGATTAAGTATTCCGACGTACGATTCAATTAGAATATTTATAATCAATTATTAACTGCAGTTATAACGTGAAAAAGAAATGATTCCACAGGTAATAGGATATTTAATAAGTACGTTCTATTGCTATAAATCTAAAACTTTGTATGACCAACTATTTGTAGTACTTATTCAAATTACCAAGCTTATAATCACGTATTGATCTTATGTGATTATCATTATTTGTAACACACGTACAAAAGGTGAAATGAAGCTGGGATATTTTTCAATATAATCACTCAAACAATTTGAATACTATTGACTCATTCCGATGCTGAAACCACTAGAACACGACAAATGAAATGAATAGTACTAGTAGCGGCAACAACGGCAATGATAACAGTAGTATCAAAGCAGTGCTACAACAGTCAACTAGCACACTTAGCACAACTACAATGCTACTTCGTAATCAGACCAATCAGATTCTTCCGAGTCTGAAAAGAATGGTACAATATCTTCGAAATCTATATACATCAAGTGATCATCTCTGCCTTCAAGGAAGTCCCATAAGATCAATTGCTATGAGAAATAAATTCAATTTTACAATTAGAATCTCACCTAATAATTCAACGTCATTAATCAAACTATTTTAATTTAATATAGTATTATAATAAGCTATACTTACTTGTATGATATCAGTATCGGAATCGGCATTACGACGCTGACGAACAGGTGGACCAACGTCTGTTTTAGTACCATCTGGTAAAGCGTGTAGATAAAAGCATTTATTACCAAATGGACATTTCCCACGACCTTTGTTAAAGTATTTGCAATCCTTAGTACTGCAATAAGCATATTTTATTATATATTTGTAAAAAAAAAAAGAAAGAAAAAAGAAAACAAAAAAAACAAAACACATTTAATTTCTTCTACCTTAACGCATCTTTATAATCCATGATTAATTTTTCTTTTTCTTCTTTTGTATCAACCCAATACATACTAGGGCACACAAAATCAGAAGTGACACGGCATTCTGGACAAGCTCTTATTATTTTATTATCGAACTGTTTAGCTTGCCTCCATTTTCTAATGCAGGTTAAACAAAAACAGTGATTACAGTTTGGCAAAATACCAAACCTTTGTTCACGTGATGACTTTTCCATTATTGTTTCAAAACAGACACCGCAAGATTTTTCTCTGCTACGTTGAATAGCAAAAGATAGTTCCATGTCAACTTCATGTTGTTTAACACATGCCTATATAAAAATTGATATTACATATTCCAATATTTAATTACGTACTACACATTTTTTATATACTAGTTTGTTATTACTAACTAATATTCTTTTATATTTGCTAATGTATTTATAAGATCTAATATAAAATATATTATCCTAGCTAATATTGAAGTTTAAGGAATTAAAAAATACCAATAAAAAAATAAATGACATAGCTGATAAATATATACTCACATTTGTATGCTTTTTCCGAAGTTCTTCATTATACGGATGAAGAGCTGCATGACTACACAATTCGCAAATATCTCCGTGCAAATATGTGCAGTTAGGTTTTTTACAAATTCCTGTAGCTTCAGCATATGGGCAAAGGGGTTCCAATGAAGGATCAGAAGCTTGACCAGTTGGATTTACAGCTTGAGCATATGAAAGTGGTTTGGATGTACCAGTTGATGTTCCTGAAGTATTAAACATTTCATTGTTGGATGTAGAAGAACCAGCAACTGATGAAACAGTTGAAGGTATAAATTCAGGAGCTTTGACCCATTCTTCAGCTATATGAATACTGTTGTCCTTGCTGCAAACATAAATAATTCTTACGACATTATTATATTCTAACAAAAAAAAATGTACCAACAAAGTGTGTTTTATAAATATACTTAAAGCTCAGGTCTTGGCTGTATTAAAAGTTTGTAATTCTAAAATAATAATTTCTTTTTATATTTTTTAATCATTATCAATCAGATACCAAGATCTGTGCTATATTATCCATAAGACCAAAGAGGAGAATACCTTTTAAATATAATTGTGACATAATATAGTATATGCGACATACGTATTTTTTAACTCCACTGAAGTTGAAGTAGTGGTAGTACGTTGTCTTAATGAAGAACTTTCTCGTAAATTGGTCTGTGTACATGCATTACCAATGGTTTCAGAACTATGGAGAAAATGGCATTGATTGCCAAACTTGCATGTGCCATATTTAAAAAAGTGACAAGTAGAATTGGACGTAGGAGTGGACGATATTTCTGTTTCATTCGCGCTTGAATCATGACGAGCAGTTTGAACATGGCGATATCTGCAGTTATTCCCTCCACGACACATGCCATTTTTAAAATATCTAAACATAATATAGATATGACATTGATATGAATATACATTTTCAGATCAAATTGATCTTTCCTATACATTTTTAATATCAATTCTATTTAAGTATGATATCGAAGTAACCACAAATATAGTTTGGTATATAACAATATATGATTTAATTAACTAATATCAATCAACATAATATATGTACATATTATTTAACTAATAAAAAAAGACATATTTATCAGTAGAAATTATAGAACATTTCGTTGTTGAAATGAACTGCTATTTTAGTTTAATAATTTTACAAATTTAAATTTCACGGTTGTAAACAGCTTAGGGAATTGTGTCAATATTTACATTAACTTGTTTACATATTATATATTTAATACTCCTTGAATACAATGAGTAAATCAATATGAAGATAGCTTTTAATCATTTTTTCAAAGAATTGACGAAGGTCAACAGAATTTTTGAAGATATAAGTTGATTTCTTACCGGCAAACAATACTATATGTCCAATTGTCGGCCATTTTCTCAAGCTTCCGCCGTAACAATTGATCAACGACGCGTTCTCAAAGAGTCGCGTGTAAATACCGTCGGGGATCTCGGCACGAATAAATTCACATGCGATGTAAAATAACCGTTTTTATCGAATCTTGAGGGTTCCTCACGAAATTTGAAATCAAACGTCCAACCGTTCAACACGCAGAAGCCCTTTCCTTGTCTCCTCCCAGAACCCTCAAGACCCTCCACGAATCCACGCTTTATTCCTTGTCAAGGGCTTATACTCTACCGTCTGCATACATCAATCTATACCGTATCGCTATTTGCTATCTCAAAGTGGTATTCTGCTAGTTAAAGAATTATATGTACATAACACATATGCATTTAAGATACATTACACATATGCAAGTATTTAACCGAAGATGAATGCACAATAGTGTTGTATCGCGCATGCCTAAGATCTTGTGAACCATATATACATACTTCTACTGTCTTTTTTCTTTTTCCTGAACATCGATAATAAAAAAAAAATATCTTTATATATAAGATTAAAATTATATTATGTAATATCCTTATTTCTTAATAGTAATGATGTAAAAATTCATGAAAAAAATAATATCTTATAGAATTTCTTCGATAAAAGATCCCAAATTATTAATCTTCTCGTCAATTTAAACTGTTTATGCTCAATGAGCGTATCGTCCGATTGGTTTAAAATTTTAACTATATTTGATTTATAAGCAGAATCATTTTTATGAAAAGAAGGATCAATTAAGGAATAACCATTAATGTGATTTCTGATCAAACTACGTTTTGAAATGAATGAAATAATTGCAATTTTTTGGATAAATCATTCGTTTAAAGAGTATTGAATTTTATATAAACAAAATAATTTGTACCGTCTTTGATAAAACTTTAAATTTTGTGTTTGTTTATACACACACACACATATATTAATAATATGAAACGTAATTTTTTTTCTATCATTAGGCTCTTACCAACTGCTGCTATTTACAGATGCCGGTTAGAGATGACATATGAAATGGTTGGTAGTTACATGTATACATAGTTTGCCGCCACGATTATTGCTTTAGCTATAACATTGTATATTTGAGTTATTTATACAAAAAGAAGTCGAAAAAGATAAAGTGGGTTTTTTGTAACCAATAAAAGGTGATGTTTCTTTGACACACATCGATTTGATATTCCTACCGTTTAAAATGTATTTTTCCTTTTCAATGTAAAAAAGATCGCGAAGTGAATAAAGTTCTGAAAAAGAAATTATTCTTAAAAAGAATATTTATCATTAATTTTTATGTTCATTTAATTATAACATAATATATGAAACATTCTTCGAAATTATTGTCAAAACCATTTAAATATTTCAAAATAACATTGAGTTGCAAAATTGTACTTTAGGAAATTGTAAGTATTGAATACAATATGGCGTTCAAGTTGTCTTTGTCATCCTAACCTCAATTAATTATGCCGAACAAAATACAACACAACGAAGGAATCGTTTATAAATTAATTATATAAATATAAACGAAGCCACGTTATGTGAAATGCGAATTATATAATACTTCCAATTTTTTTTATGTTATATAATAATTTAATTAATATATTTTTTTATGTTTTACAGCACTTGTTTTTCATCATCATTCTTTGTTGCTTTGTCTGTTACTTAAGAGACAAAATGAATAAATAGTATACATAAAATAAATAATATACAAAAAATGTGTAATATATCACATTAATTAATATCTGATAATTAATTTATTACTTCGATGGAACATAACGATAGTGGTTGATCATGTTATAATACATATGCATGAGGATATTAATATTAACAAAATTAGTTAAGAGGTTTTTGTACAAAAATATTGATGATATCCAATATAATGCAGAATGGATATTAATCTCAGCAGTATATAAGTTTTTACAGTAAGTATAATTCAAATACCTTCATAGATATAAATAAATATCAATTCAAGTAAATCATATATATATATATATATATATATATATATATATATATATATATATATATATATATATATGATTTATATATATATATATATATTTTTTTTTTTTTCAAGTTTTAATTTCTTTTAATTATAGATATATAGAGAAACATAATTTTATGATTATTTACAATAATGGATTCAAATATTGACATAACATCAGCCCAAACATCTAACATATTATCTCCAGTACAAAATGATACGAGTTTACAAACAAATAATGAAAATGAAGATTCTATAGAAAAATCTGTATGTGAAACTCTAAAACCTGATCAAATAAATCTTGTAAATGAAGAAAATGTTAGTGAAAATCTTCAGTCAGATAAAATTATTTGCGATAAGGATATAATTGTTGATACTACGAAATCAAGTGTCAAAAATACAGACACAAGAGAAACTGCAAATGATTCAAATGTATGTACGGATGAAATTTCAAAAGAATGTAATATAAAAACACAGGAATCCACTTCACAAATTACTGATGAACATACGGATCAGTCTCTTATAAATAAAGAAAATAACAGTATAGCAACTCCTGATGTCAATATTTTAAATGAAATTTCGAATGAACAATTAGAAACTATAAATTTAATAAATGAACATAATGTTAATGATCCAAAAGAAACAGTATTACAAAATACTAATCCAAAGAACATCGAGGATTGCTCTCCACAAGAAGAAAGTGTAAACAATGCAGATGTAACCGATACAATTAAGCAAGAATCTATAATAGACATGAATAATACACAATCATTTACAAATGACACAGATACAAAAAGTAAAAACTCAGATGTACATGAAGATATTGATATATCAAACATAGATCAGGGAACATCTGATAAAAATGTTTCTGTACCAGAAAATACTGAGTTTGTACAATTCTCACAAGACAAACATGGTGATTCTCAAATTGAAAATCAATCTATGGACGCTGAAGATCCTTTCGCTGGAGACAATCTGACTTCTGAAAATGTTGAACAAATGGAAACGGATAGTCCTACAGAAACAAGTATTGATTTTTCAAAGCTATGCGAACAAGGTGATATTCTTCAGAATATTGTTCATACAAGAGATATTGATTTTAATACAAAGTTAAATAATAGTGAAAAAGTGAATTCATTACAAGAGGATGAAAGAGATAAGATTTCTCTTGATAATGAACATCATTCAACTGCTTCAAAAGAATGTTCTGAATCTATACCAAATAAGTCACATTCATCTGTAACAATCAAGGCAGAAAATAAAAATACTCTTTCAGAAGAAGATATATTGATAACAAATACTACAGAATCTATTAATAGGTGTAATAAACATGTAAAAAAGGATGCAGGAAGTGTAACACCAATGGAAACAGAAGAAGAACAATCTGATATATTACCTGGGCAGGATGATGAATTGTGTATTATTCCAGATAGTATGAAAATGATAATACCAGAAAAAGTAATGGAAAAGAAAAATAATGATAAAAGTAAATCTACATTGGATGAAGTTGTTATTCAAGAAGAGGGACAAAAATCAATTACTGAAAGCGTTGAAAGTACTACAGTAAATCATCAAGAAAGAACTATAGCAGACAATAATACTAACAAAGAGCAGATACAAAGTACGCAAGAACAGCATACAAATGTGGAGAAAGATGTGCTGATAACTACTGATGTTATAAATCTTGATGATGAATCTAAAAATTCTGAAATTGAAGAAATTTCATCAAAAGAAATGTGTAAACAGTGCAATGAAGAAAGATCATGTAAAATTAAAGTAAAGATTGGCGTTGATAGTTTCAATGTATGTTCTAAAACATGTAAAACATTATTTAAAGCTGCTAATAATAGAGCAACAGACATACCAAGTGATACAGTTAATTCAAAAAGAGATAAACGTTGTGCGAATTGTTTATTAATTATTGAATCAAATGATGAAAAAAATCTTTCATGGGAAACAATGGAATTTTGTAATGAAGAGTGTTTAGGAAAATTTCAAAATAAATATGGAAGCTATTGTAGGAATTGCAATGGTTCCGTTCAAGCAGTAAGTTTAGGAAAATATTGTGTACGTTTTGGTTATGATGTCAGACAATTTTGTTGCTCTACGTGTTTAGAAGAGTTTAAAAAAGGTTTAAAAGTATGTAGTTACTGTCAAAAAGATATAAGTTCAGGTACCGAAGGTTTTTTAGCTCCTGTCGGTGACAAAGGACAATTTAAAGATTTTTGTACCCAAAACTGCATGGAAAAATATTCAAAAATGAGCTCTACTGATCTTCCAAATATAGAAAAAAAATCTTGTAGTGTCTGCCAAGAGGTAAGTACACGCACACACTTGGTTATTTATATGAGACTATAATATAAGTATATAATAGAATGTAATATATATGTATCTTATATATTATATAATAAAATATACTTTCATTTTTTTGTGATAGGAGAAACTTGTACATTGTGAAGTCCAATTAGATAGAGCTAATCCAGTAGTTATATGTAGTGAGCCATGTTTTGCAGCATTTAAGTTTGTAAACAAAGTTGATCCAGACCAATGCTCTACTTGCAAACAATTTTTTGAATTACAAAATAAGAAAAGTTTTGTTATCTTTTATGAAAATGAAGCCCATACGTTTTGTACTAAGACATGTTTAAATATATTTATAATTACAAATAGGAAAATAGTACCTTGTAATTGGTGCAAAGTAAAAAAATATAATTTTGATATGATTAAAAAAGAATTAAAAAATGGACAAATAATGATGATGTGTAGTTTAAATTGTTTAACATTATATCAGGTATGATATATTAATTTATCTCAATCTATCCTATATATTTTTTATAATACTGTTATTTTAAATACAAAAAAATCATTAATTTTGCAGGTATCTATTAATGCAGTATCAGCCAAACGTATAAATTGTGACTTCTGCAAAGAATTTTCTCAAGCACAATATCATTTAACGATGTCAGACGCAACAATACGCAATTTTTGTTCATATAATTGTGTGATGAATTTTCAATCTCAGTATACAAAATCACCAATAACAATACCATCGAGTGATGATCCTGTACCAACAGGAATGCCAAAACGAACAATGCCACAAAGAACTACAAATCAGAATACATCAAAAGTAAATGAAATACAAAATAAAAAAAATATGCCAGTTATATCTTCAGTAACAAGTTTAGCCACTATAGGAAATGGACAAGCTAGTCCGTCTACTACACAAAATAACGTGAATACTACAGTTCAAAATCAAGTGCCACAGATCATTTATAAGCAACAGATTATCACAAGACCACCTAGCCCAACAAATATTCATAATAAAATTACTCAATGTAAACCCTTAATGCATACAAAAGGCGTTTCTGTACGTCCACATCCATGCACTAAATCGACACAAACAGAAGAAACTCAACAGATGGTAATTCCGATACCGGTACCAATTTATGTTCCATA